GATCTGTTCTTAAAGGTTGGAGTTCTTATCGATCCGGAAATACCACAGACGATAACTTGTTTCACAGATTGGTTGTGCAAGGCAAAAAGTGTCTTGAAAAATGCACAGTGGTGGAGTGCCAATTATCCAAGTGATGGGTATAAAATTTTTGCCGTGTAGAACGTTGGCGGAAAGTAGCGGCCGGTATTGGTCTTAACAATTCCTCGGAGCACTCTCCATGACTTCATCGAACTTTGATTTAGAGGTCTGAAAATTGATATAATAGTGACTCCTCGTTATGTTTAATAAAATACCCATGTATATTGTCTATTGCAACTTACAAAAAAAAATGAAATCCCACCAAAAACATTTCCGTGTAAAATGTTGCCAGATCTCATGTAGACCCAAGCTTCAAGCTTCTAACTCTACATTCACAAACTAACTTCACAAACTCTTCCTACACTTTAGTCAAAATTTCCGCTTGGCCGTTTCGCTATCGTCACACGAGCGTAAGGTGAAAAATTTATTCATTGTTCATTACTTTTTTGTTTTACAATAATTCTTTTAAAATATAACATAAACGGCCAAGCCATATTTTGACTAAGATGTAGAGTTTTACAGCAAATAGCATTATATAACTCAACCAAATATCCCTAACATTAAGGCTCACAGCTGTACTCTGTCCAGTCGAGCTGCTTGCAATAGTCCTTCCATCCAGAAATTATCTTGCATCAAATATTTGGGAGTAAAAAATTGATAGCACACTAAGTTTAGGTATACAATCACATCGAAATGATAGTCTCTCGTGTCCGTAAGTTAAATTTTCAATTGAAAAAATTGCATGAAGTAGACGATGCTGCACTGCTTAAATTAGCTTTAGTACTGCTTAGCTTTAATTCAGTCTTTGATAACCTATTGTAGACCTGTGTGGAACGGAACATTCAAAACATCGTTGTTATGTTTGGAGAGTGCGCAGAGAGCTGTCTCGAATGTAGTGCTAAATGGCCCTTAGAGATACTCAAAAATTTAAACTTTATGTAAAGAATTTTCCTTATTGACTGTGAGCTGTGTGCACCCCACATAGCGCTCCGCAAACATTCTTCGCTAATTTTTAATCTTTTCTTTTCTTTCTTTTCTTTTTTTAAAGACAACTCCCGCATTAGGAATATTTCCTGTGTTGCGGGGGCTTAACAAACATACATGAAACGGACACAAAGAACACCCAGACTCGGAACGACAATTTGTGGATCACACAAAGTGTCGTCCCATATGGGGAACGGACCCACAAACTCAGCGTAGTAGTAAGCGGCGTGGCAGTCACGTGCACGCTTCGATCACAGATGGATAAACGGCGTAAAGAGATGTTGTATGTCCAAGACTTCATGTAAGGACGGTCCTATATAGCAGGCAGACACTACCATTGTCTTAGTGGTTGTCTTTATAACAGATTAATTAAAATTTGTACCCTATATCCTTCATCAAAACTGGAATCCAAAAATTTAATTACTGGGAACCTTAAAAACACAACGTATGAAGAAAGAGAAAGCTTCATGGTGTACATACAACACAAAATTCATACACAAACACACACCACACAGAAACACTCGTACACACACATGCTCACACGCCTACTGATATAAACATACATTCACAATCGCACGCAACCAGTTTTACACACATTGCCGTTAACTCTATCTTAAAAGCGCTATGTGCTAAATAATTTTATAACATTAGCATAGATTTAAAGATTGAAATTGAAAATATTGTAATCATGATGTTGGTCAATAAAGAATTATTATTATTAATTTAACTTACTTGTTTAAAATGGGTATTAGTACGAAACTACGAAAGTTAACACTACGCCTGGCCCGACAAAAACTTCACCGGTGTGGAAACGCGGTAATATTATTTATTTGGTCGCATAAATACAGGTATTGAATACTTCTAAGTTGTCAACCCATGTAATTCTAGTGTTGAAGTCAACGAAAGTGGCACGGCCCACCGCCATCATGAGTCGTCTCATCATTGTAACTTCAGTTACATCGAATAAATATTTTAATAGTAATTGATAAGGGTACACAAACGGTGATAAAACCTTTAAGAAAGCAATTACATGATTTAATCACACAAATACTAACGGACCAAGTAAAATAAATGCTTGTACTATTCTATTTTATTCGATTATAACGTCTTTGTATTAAGACAAGCGGCTAAACGCGTTTTATTCACATCGAAGTTGCAGATTGTTCTCAGCAACTGCAGTCGTGCGGAATAACAGTTCTGTTCAAGTGCCGATGCATTAGGTTTAGATTTTACGAATCCGATAAAGCCCACGCTGAACTGTCACATTTTATTTGCCTTAAGCTAAGTGAATACCGCTTGAGTTGAATTAAATTTAAAAACTTATTTTCATTACAGTTATAAGAAATGAAATAATCTTTTGTAGTACAAGGTATTTTTAGTTTATCAAACCAAAATATTTTGTAAGAGATTTGAATTTTCAATAATGTAATTACCCTTTTTAACGGTAAAATCTTCACATTTGATAGACTTCAAGATTGAAAGCAAGATAAAGATCTTTAACTAAATTCAGATAAACGTCACTACCCCTATAAAAAAGGAACCTTTATAAGATAACTTCATTGTACGCCTGTCTGTCTGTCTGTCAAGACTCAAAGAGATATTTTTCTGAGACTCGATGAATTATTAAGTTATAGTAAAATATTACTAAGGCTAAAAACTGTAAAAAGTCAAACTTAACTCATTTCGTTTAACTTTTTCTCTAAAGTTTTCTAACACTTTGTAAAAGTTTCTTAGGGAAAGAAATATTGGAAAAAATTCAGTTACAGCTTGGAAAATTGATTGTGACGTATATAGCAATGTACGATATAGCAATGAACGATAAAGTGGGAAAGTTAGGTTACAAATAATCAAAAAAAATCGAGAGTCAATTTCCGAGAAGGAACTATAACTATCTATCTAGACGACTATACTTTGAACTGAAACCGAGAAACTCAAACTGATAGTGTTGTTAAGATAAGCCGGTGTCTATGTGAAAAAAAGATTATTAAATAATAAAGACACCATAAAATATATATTTTATGAGTAAGTAAGATAAGTCTGTGGAAGGATGGTGGGGTGAAATGGCAAATTATATACAAAAGATAGCGATAGAAGTATTTGGGGAAACGAAAGGAAAAGGCATTACTGAAAGAGATACATAGTGGCGGAGTAATGACGTACAGAAAGCTCTAAAAGAAAAGAAGGTTGCCATTAAAGCGTAAAAAAATTAAAAGGGATGTGAGAGAATGATGGAAGTTAAAATGAACGAATATAAGGAGTGGAAGAAAATGGCAAAAAAAAAACAGAAGCGGTAGCCAGAGCTCAAGCTCAATGCAATATGTATAAACACCTACTTGAACCTGGAGGTCAAAAAGAACTTTACTGCATTAAAAAAACAGGGAAGAAAGAGCAAAAGACATAAAGCACGTGAGATGTATAAAAGATGAAGAGGGGAGAGTGTTGATTAAAGATGAAGATAAAAAGAGGAAAACTTGGAATATAAAACTTACTTTGAAAAACTGATGAATGGAGCGGAGTGCTGGAAAATGTGGATGTCAATGTCGGACATGAAAACGAAATTAGTATAAATGAAGTCAGATTGGTAGTACGAAGTATGAAAAGCGGAAAAGGTATGCCAGTGGAAGTTAGTGAAAGAAGACGGATATGAGTGGCTGACTCTATTCTTCAATATGTTGTTGCATGAAGAGGCAATCCCTAAGGAATGCTGTCAAATACCAACTCGTACCCATTTTTAATAATAAAATTGATGTGCAGGAAATCAACAACTATCGAAGTTCATGTCTTGGAATAAAGCTCATGTCACATACTATGAAAGTCCTGGAGAAAGTGATTGAGACTAGAATAACAGATGAGAGTGAGATAACCCAAAGTCAATTTGGGTTTATGCCAAGACGTGGGACAACCATTGACCTAAGAATATTACTTCCTCTTTGGGGACAACAGATGCCATATTTGCAATGCGCCAACTATGTGAGAAATACAGGAACGTGCACAAAAACTTGCATATGGTGTGTGTGGACCTCGAAAAGGCATATAGTTGGGTACCCCGTGAGGTTTTGTGGTGGGCTTGGAAAGAAGAAAGAGATTTCAGCGATCTCTCTAGTCCTGATACCATTTCACTGGATGGGATAACGATAACAATCTGTTCCAATTTCAAGTACCTTGGCTCCCTCTTACAATGTGATGGGGAGATCGATCGAATTATACAGCATCGAATCAATACAAGTAACGGGAACAATTTGTGACGCCAGTTTCCCCTTTGAAAGGACAAATTTTATAAAACTATAGACCTGCCGTCCCGTATGGTTCTGAAATTTGGCCCATTAAGAGAACGTATGAGAGATGCCTGAACGTAACTGCAATGCGAATGTTGAGATGGATGTGTGGTGTGACGAGTTTAGGAATGAATATATATATCAGGGAGTCTGATAGTACCGCCACTGGATGAAAAGTTAAGAAGTAATAGGTTGTCTTGGTAAGGACGTGTCATGCACAGGGACGAGGAAACTGTGGCCAACAAAGTCTTAGGATACAATACAAGAGGAAGTCCAAAAAAAAGTGAATGGACTGCGTAAGTGAGGATATGGCTAGGAAGGAAGTAAACAGGAAATAGAATTGGGATAAGGATAGGCAGATGATGATGACCAGAAAGACATATTTTCTGTTTTTATTCTCGTTTTTTTTTAAATTACAAATAATGAACCTCAGCTCACGTAGTAAAATTTTACGCACTCAACGTTCCTATTTGTGAACGAATTTCGGACTTAACTGTGACTGTGATCGACGCGACGTGTCATTGTTTTAAACGTCAACTTTGACATAACATGAAGTAAATTTCGCCTGGAAATAATGATTAAATGTTATTATTTTACAATTAAGTAATTGTTAAGTCGTGTTATTGTCGTTTAAAGATAGCAGTTTTATTTTAGTTGATAACAATGAGTACTTTACGTGAACGTCAACTCAGTGCGTATTATTTCTTCTTGTTTATTAACGTTTACACGTAGTACACTAAGATTATTTATTTGCAATAAAACTTTTCAGATGCTCTAAAGCAAATGCTGAATTTGAATCAGCCTCTCACAAAAAGCGTGGCGTGTGAACCGACATGGAAAGTATTAATCTACGACAGAGTTGGCCAAGATGTAATATCTCCTTTGATATCTATTAAGGAGCTGCGTGAACTCGGCGTTACGTTGCATGTGTAAGTATTCTTTATGCTGCAATATAGCTACACTGATCATCTTAAATCTCAGAACATTTGGCCGGTTTTTCGTTGTTTTTTTAATGACAACTCCTGCACTAGGAATATATCCTGAGTGACGGGGGACTTTTACAAACATACATAAAACTGACACAAAGAACACCCAGACTCAGAACAACAATTTGTGGATCTCATAAAGTGGCATCCCATGTAGGGATCGACCCCACAACACTCAGTGTAGTATGTCAGTAATAGGAATAGGTAAACATATTATATTATATATAAGCTATTTATATTTTACCTTAAATAGCTTAAGAAATAACAATGGAGATTTCTATTATGCTAAACCTGTTAATGTACTTACAATAACAGGTTTCGATAAACGTTTATTGTATGGACAGGCCTGTTGGTCTAGTGACTCTGCTAGGTCAGAGGTGGTGGGTTCGTTTTCCAACTAGGATGGATAATTGTATGATAGGTGTGATCATTTGTCCTGTGTCTGGGTGTAGTTTGTCCATAGTGTGTATGTATTTGGAAGTATATAAGTGTGGGGGGTATATGATGGTCTGGTTGCCATAGCACAGGCATTGCCTAATTTGGGATCATACTGCTGTGTGTGGGACGGGAGAATATATTGTTATTATTATTGTGTGCTAAAGTTTTTTTAGTTTAACCACACAACTTAATTTGATGTAAGTGGATATTTTGAGTTAAAGTCATATATAATAATAATAAGCCTTTAATTCCTAAGTTTTACAGTATTTTCATACTACTCAATAATCCCTAGTACACTTGTCATAATATGTCCCTAAGTTCAGTGTGCCTTACGGCATAGGCCTCCAACGTCTTCCACTGTTTCCTATCGGTTGCAATTCTTAGACAAAGGGGATCTAGAGTCAATTTCAGATCATCCCCATCTTCTCACTTTGCGACCTCAGCTCCTTGACCCATCTCTTGGATACCAGACCGTTACCGCTTTGCTCCATTTTTCATGCTTACAACAAAGCATATGCCCTGTCCATCTCCATTTTTGTCGGTCAATATGTGTTAGGATGTCTGTTAGTTTAGTTTTGCATCTGATATCTACATTCCTGACTATTTTTTAACTTTACTTGATGCCAATCTCCTCGCTTTTCATTATTTCTTTCAGCCCAAAATTTTTTCCACCCAGTAGCGATTCTTTTATCAATTTCTTTGGACATTTGGTCGCTTGGAGATATGATATGACCTGGGTATACATATTCAAGTTTTTGTCCATTGACAGTTATGTCTGCAGCTGTTGCGTTTGTCATTATTTTTGTTTTGCTCGAGTTCATTTCCAAACCTACTTCTCGACTTCTGTCTGCCAGCGTTTGTATCATGGACTCCAGTAATCTTGGGTTCTCCTTCATTATGACCAGCTCATCAGCGAAATCTAGATGGTTTAGTCGCGATCCGTTTATGTTTAGCCCTAAATGCTTCCAATCCAATTTTCTAAACATTTGTTCTAGTACTGTTGAAAATAACTTTGGTGAGAGAGGGTCACCTTGCCTGACTCCCCTATCAACTGGAAAAGTATCCCCCAGAGTTTCCAACTTGATGCTAGCTTTACTCTCGCTGTAGATCTTTTTGATGACGTTTGCGTAATCATATTGTACACCCTGCTCCATAAGACTTTGCCATACAAACCTATGTTTAAGGCTGTTGAAGGCTTTTGTATAATCTATGAAGGCTAGGTAGATAGGTTTGTTGTACTCGTTATATTTTTGTAGAAGCTGTTTAATGGTGTGTCTGTGGTCAATTGTGCTAAAGTTTTTCCTGAACCCTGCCTGTTCCACGGGTTGATTTTCGTCAAGAGTGTTCGATATTCTGTACAGCATCACTTTCGCAAAAACTTTATACACATTTGAGATTAGAGATATGGGTCTGTAATTTCCAATATCATCCTTTGAACCTTTCTTATATAGAAGTATAATGTGTGATTCTGCCCATTGGCTTGGGATGTTGCCAGTAAATAGTATCTCATTGAACACCTTTGTTAATACCGGGCTTAATTCGTCGACTGTTCCTCGCATCAGTTCGTTTGGAATTCTATCAGGCCCAGGAGATTTTTCCATCTTTTGACTATTTATAGCAGAGATGCACAGACCGCGGCCCGCCGGTCGAATACTGGTGGCCCGCCGAAAACAAAAATAATACTCTCGTACATTCGAAAAATATTGAATTCTGTTCCGGAATAAAACCAAAAAAAATATGTTCGAAAAGTAATTTGAATCTCGCGCTCGCGCTCTTAAGTGCGCTTATCGGTGCATGGGTCGGTAACAGCGGTCGGTAATGGTCGTGCTGATCTCGGTTAAATTCGTTTTCTTGAGGAAGAGCCGCCGCCGGCGGCGCGGCGACGACGGCAGCGCGGTGGTGGCTTATCCACGGGTTATATTGTTAGAGCAAGCGAGATAGTAATAGTCCCAAATTCCCGATTGCTCGCGTAGGTAGATACACGAAGCTTCCAGAGTCGGTTTCGAGATTTCTCCAGACAGTTTTCGACTCTATACGCGCGGTATAAAAGCCACGCTAACCGCAGCGATCGACAGTTCGGTTTTAATTTGAGTGAAATGTCAATAGTTCTAGTGTAGATTTTAACTCGACTAGCCGGTATCATATATTTTGATCCACATTCAACGTAGATTTCCCGTCAAGTGCCGTGTATAATTGTGTTGTGAAATCGTAAGTGAAACTCTGTTATTAATAAGTGTTTCCCTACCTATTTAATCAATTATTTTTGGGAATTTAAAAGAGGATGGGTAATTTAAGTAGGTACTGTAATTGTTTTTAGGTGCTGTGTTAATCCTAGCCAGGATTAGAACGCAACATGGACAAGCCAGGACCTAGTAAAAAACGTAAGGTTAAAGATGAAAATCGGCAGTTTCAAGAAATTTGGACTGAGAAATACTTTTTTGTATGGTCGCATAACAAAGTCGTTTGTTTAATTTGCAAGAATTCTGTTGCGATTGCAAAGGAATAAAATTTAAAAAGGCACTATGAAACGCAGCATCCTACTTTTACCAAGTTTACAGGCGAATTAAGAAAGCAAAAAATGTTGTCTTTAAAACGGAAGCTTATTGGCTAGCAAGCTATGTTTGCAAAACCCATTCAAGATTCAGAAACAGCTACAGAAGTTAGTTATGAAATTTCTCGAATGATAGCATAGCGAAGTCGCCCCTTCAATGATGGGGATTTTGTAAAAGAATGCATAGAAATTGCCGCTAAGAAAATGTGCCCAGAAACAGCAAAAAAGTTCGAGAAAATTCAACTTAATCGTATGACTATCCAAAGACGAATTATGTCCTTGTCATGTATTATTGCGGAATAATTAAATGAAAAAACTAAGATCATTGAATTTTTTTCATTAGCACTCGACGAATCCACTGATATTAGTTCCTCAAGATTTTGAAGTCTTAGAAGAGTTATTAGGAATGTGTTCATTAAAAGGTCAAACCAGAGGAGTTGATATACTCAATGTACTTTTGAATGAGTGTTCAAAAACTAATTTGGACTTATCAAAATTATCGGGATTTGCTACTGACGGTGCTCCTTCGATGATTGGTGTCAATTCTGGGCTAGTTACTTTGCTGAAAAAGCATCTGCAAGAAAAAAACATAAACGCTGAAGATCTCATGCAGTTTCACTGCATTATATACCAAGAAGCCCTCTGTTCTAAAAAAATTGAATTTCAAAATGTCATGAAAGTGGCAGTTTCGACTGTAAATTTCATAAAATCACGAGGACTCAATCACAGGCAATTCAAACAATTCCTTGATGACATCGAAAGCGAATATGGAGATTTACTGTATTATACAGAAGTAAGGGGGCTAAGTCGTGGATTGACACTGGAACGATTTCTAAATTTAATAGAAGAAATTGAAATATTTCTGGCGGAAAAGCAAAGGGATCTCCCGGAACTTAAAAATACTGATTGGTTGTGTGATTTGGCTTTTTTAGTTGACATTACAAATCATTTGAATGTCTTGAACACACGGCTTCAAGGCAAAAATCAACTGATATCCCAGCTCTACGCTCATGTATCATCCTTTCAATGCAAGCTGACACTTTTCAGATCGCAATTGAATTCTGGAAATTACAATCATTTTCCGAATTATAAGAAAATGGCTGAAAAATTCAACAAAACTGCGATGAATTTCAGTTATGTAGAAAAGCTAGATATTTTGATTCAATCTTTTCAAGACGGATTTTCGGAGTTTAAAAAAGTGAAACCTCTGTTGGACATATTCAGCAATCCTTTCACGATTTCAGTTGAAAATGCGCCCGAGTCAATGCAGTTAGAAATTATCGACATTCAAAACGACCAAGATTTACGCAACAAATTCAACGAAGGAGACTTGCTGAACTTTTACCGCTGCATTGATAAAAATACGTACAAAAAGTTGCGCATAAACGCTCTGAAATGTGCCAGCTTATTTGGTTCTATATATGTGAACCAACCTTTTCAATACTAAATAATAATAAAACAAAAAATCGAAACTGCCTTGCAAATGAAAGTTTGGAAGCAGTTTTACGTGTTGCTACAAGTAAATTTGAGCCAAATATAAAAAAGATTGTAAGCACTATGCAGTGCCACGCTTTAAATTAATAAATTCTTTTTCAATTTTAAAACATATTTATCAATTCTCTATTGTCTTTAATTACCTATACTTCTGGCGGCCCGCCATCAGTTCATAATTTGCCCGAGTGGCCCTTAGTCTTAATAAGTCTGTGCATCCCTGATTTATAGCTTTTACTACTTCTGATTTTAGTATTTGTGGTACTTCTCCAGTATTCTTTATTGCGTTTTCCAGTCTAGGTTCTCTTTTGGGTGAGTCTACATTTGGCTGAATAGAATATGACCGGCCATAGTAGTCTGTTGCAATGTTTAGAATCGTACTGCGTATGTTTCTGGACCTAAATTATGTTAATATCATATTTTATTTTGCACCTACCGCATCATATTTCTACATCACCTGAAGGTTGACTGGGAGAGAATGCCTAATGGCATTAAGTCCGCCTTTGTACAATATGTGCATTAAGTTTAAAATAAATAAATAAACTCAGCAGTAATAAATCTTCATGGTGCAACAATAACTTAATCAAGAGCCTTGTCTTATATACTTCAGACAGGTCTGTTGGTCTAATGGATAGTGAGCCTGACTGCTAGCAAATGCTTGTGGGTTCAATTCCCACCCAAGACAAATGCTGTGAAAATAGCGCTATCATTTGTTCAGAGTTGAGTAGAATATATAAGTATGTAAGTGGGACTATAATCATACTCGTCAAAATGTGGGTGTTAAATATTATATGCCTCTGTTTATCAACTTCGGGGATAAATAAGTCAGTGTAAGTATGTATGTACTTGGGATTTCAAATACTTAGCTGTAGCTTTGTTATAATTTTAAAGCATTTACAACTGTTATGAAATTAAACGATAGGTTCATATTATGACAGTGTTTCAGTTCTGGAGAATAACAGAATACCTATATGGACATAGAAATTCATACTTTTATATTCTCAATAATTAATTTATTTTTAATTTCAGGCAATTGCATTCAGACCGGGATCCAATACCAGAAGTACCAGCAGTATACTTTTGTGCACCAACAGAAGAGAATCTTGGCCGCATATGCCAAGATCTGGACAATGGCATCTATGATCAATATCATTTAAACTTCATATCACCCATCACAAGGCAAAAACTTGAAGATCTTGCAGCATCAGCTATACAGTCTAACTCAGCAGTGAATATTCACAAAGTGTATGACCAGTATTTGAACTTCATATGTCTAGAAGATGATCTTTTTATTATGAAGCATCAACAATCAGATTCTTTATCTTATTACTGTAAGTGGCATTAACATTTTGTATACTTAAACATTTATGAAATCTTCATTCATATTATAGTATTTCTTTCGGTAGAGTGTATCAGGCTTATGGGTAACGTTTCTTCAGGTCACTAGTACAACTTATGTGTCAAATTGCAAACCGGTGTTCCCCTCTAACAGCCATAGTGGCCAACCTCGAAAGGGCGATATCGGTGAGTGCCTGAACATCACCTAGCTAGAAAGTTACCCGAAGGTGATGACTGCACTTATACCGTCAGGCGAAAGAAGGAACGGATGCTTTTTGGCTAGTTGTAGTAGATTCGGTTATACGCCTCATTAGTTTGACACCACCCAACTTAAAGCCCCTGTGGTCATGACGGCCTGTGGGCATTCCACTTATAGAAAAAAAGTGTCCTAATACTTAATCGAGTCAGCCACTTGCTATCTGTTATCCTAGTTAATCAGAACCAGTTATACTAGATTACTGGTTCTGATTTTTATTACCAGACTAGCTGCGCCCCGGGATGTTACCCGCAATGGAACGACACTATATTTTTCGGTATAAAAAGTAGCCTCTCCTTTAATTCGAGATGTCGGCTACCTAAATACCAAATTTTATTAAAATTGGTCAAGCCATTAGAGCGTAAAAAGTAAAAACATACAAACACTCACACTTTATCCTTTACAATATTAGTGTTATTACTATTTGAATTTTATTCTTATATGAAAATATATCATAGACTGTATCTTTTTCCAGCTATAAATAGAGGTGACACCAAAGACACAGAAATGGAAGCTATAATGGACAGTATAGTTGAGAGCTTATTCTCAGTATTTGTGACATTAGGTAAGTTAACACTTCATGTACAATTATAACCAATTACTGTTAAGGTCCTGAGTTGAACTACAATCTATTTTTATTAGGGGTTAACAAACCAAACCTTATAATAGAGAACATTGGCAGATAAATAGGATTGAGGATAAAATTGTCATAATTAAATTCTGTAATGTTAAGAAATGTCTATTGAATGTATTTTTTTTATATAGGTAATGTTCCTATAATAAGAAGCAGCAAAGGCAACGCTGCAGAAATGGTTGCAAAAAAACTGGATAAGAAATTACGAGAGAACTTGTGGGATGCCAGAAATAATCTTTTTCATGGCAATACTGGTCAAGTTGGTTCTTTTAGTTTCACACGGCCTATGTTAATATTACTCGACAGGAACCTTGATATGGCAACCCCTTTACATCATACTTGGACATACCAAGCTTTGGCTCATGATGTACTGGATTTGTCACTAAACAGGTTTGTTGTAATTTATTATGCCATTTATGCTATACGTTAAGTTTTCTTTCCTGTTAATCTGTCGTAAGTACTGGTACATTAAGCATATGCTTTAACCGACTTAGAAAAAGAGGATGTTCTCTTTCAGTGGCATTTTTCCTTTTTTACCTCAGAAGGCCAATTCTCGTAATATAAGTTCGGTCACAATTCAGTTCCGACCAACTCTCGATCTCACTGTCATAAAAGATATTTTCATAGTAAAGTATTAAACATCCATCATTGTCTGTAATGTGATTATATCGTATTTTAACCAAAAATTGAGTCGGTAATCTGCTAGTGTAAAAACACTTCACTATTTCACTATGAAAATACCTTTTATGACAGTTGCGAGATCGAGAGTTGATCGGACCTGAATTTCGACCGAACTTTTATTACGAAAATTGGCCTTCAGATCTCCGTCATTTGTGGACCGATTTGCAAAAATATTTTATGTTTGTGTGAGTGTACTTCCCGTTTGGTTATTTAGATTTTAAGAAGAATTTTATTACAACTCTTAAGATTGAAAAATTAAGAAAATGAAGAATGCAGTATATTACAATTCACATGATTTATGCGCATTGAAGTTGGTGATATCTTTTTGAAAATTAATCATGTTATGTTGAATTATAGCCAAAGTAGGAAACATGATTTATGCGCATTGAAGTTGGTGATATCTTTTTGAAAATTAATCATGTTATGTTGAATTATAGCCAAAGTGGGAAACATGGGTATCCTTAAATAAAATCTGAAATGCGTTGACTTAGTAAATTGTTTGTTTTGATCAATTATTTTGCTTTTCTCAATAATGTGTATGCATATTTTGTAAAATGAAAGCCTTAAAACTTATAATGTTCAAAAAGTAAAACAATGCTTAAGTACGATTTCTTTGATTTAGAGCAGTGGTTCCCGAAAATACAGGAGCGGCACCCATCGCTGGGCAGAAAGCTAAAACACGAGTGTGTGACCTTGACTCTAAAGATCCTCTATGGACAGAGCATAAAGGAAGCCCATTCCCAACAGTGGCTGAAGCAATACAAGAAGATCTCGATAAATATAGGTAAGTTATCTGGAAAACAAAAGTAAACTGAACAAACAAATCTTCGAACCGTCAAATTATAACTTATTGCATTAAAAATATTATCAAGCATTTTAACTTAAAATATACCAAAGAAATGTACAGTTAGGTACTTCTAAAATATATTTTTTAACCCTTAGGAGCTCAGAGGCGGAAGTAAAGAAACTAAAAAGCTCTATGGGTTTAGATGGAGAAAGTGATTTAGCACTAAGCATGGTGAGTGATAATACTCAACGACTGACCAGTGCTGTGAATTCCCTCCCTCAACTAATGGAAAAGAAAAGACTTATCGATATGCATACCACTATTGCAACTGGTAAGTATTAACCACAACTAAGACTTTTAGACAAAAATAAAGTATTTGCTAAGCGCAAATTGATTTGTATTCTGGTAAGATCACTACCGAAGCTGTTCATTTACTACGTAAATACTACAATACTTGTAGTATTGTAAACCTATTATTATTGTACTATAGCCAATTTAATGCAAACCCATTAAACTAAAATAATAAAAAAGCATCATTCATCAATGAATATTTAGTATAACTCTGTCTTTGCAAATAAAATTACACTTTAAATAGCAAAAACACACAAACTGTTCATCTTAGATACACACGTGGTCGCTATATTAATTATAATTGATATCGTAAACTTACAGCCATCTTAAACGCTATCAAATCAAGGCGGCTGGACTCGTTTTTTGAATTAGAAGAAAAGATAATGAGCAAAAGCAGTAGTGTGGAAAGTAAAGCTGTTATGGACTTAATATCAGACCCAAGTGCTGGGACAGCAGAAGACAAAATGAGACTGTTTGTTATTTATTATCTATGCACATCACAAATACCTGATGACGAATATAAGAAGTTTGAAGCTTCACTTGCAAGCGCCAATTGCGATATCAATCCCATGGCGTATATGAGGAGGTGGAAGTAAGTAATTGCTTATATTAGCATGTATAGTAGCATGCATGTATTACAAGTTACAAGTGACGAGGTGCATTCAAATCTATCGATCATCTAATCCTCGATTTATTACTTTGTTATGTTATGATACATTTTTGAATCACAACACTGGCCTTCATCATCATCATCATCAGCCTATCGCAGTCCACTGCTGGACATAGGCCTCTCCCATTGCACGCCACTTAGATCGATTTTGGGCTTCTCGCATCCAGCTCCTGCCAGCCATCTTGCGCAAATCGTCACTCCACCTGGCCTGTGGGCGTCCTACACTACGTTTGCCGAGACGCGGTCTCCACTCAAGAACTCGTTTTCCCCAACGGTTATCGGTTCTGCGGCTAATATGGCCAGCCCACTGCCACTTCAACTTGCTGATCCGGTACGCTATGTCGGTGACCTTAGTTCTCTGCCGGATCACCTCATTTCTGATGCGATCCCTTAGAGAAACGCCGAGCATAGCCCTTTCCATAGCACGTTGAGCGACTTTGAACTTGTGGACCAGCCGTACCGTAAGTGTCCACGTTTCAGCTCCGTATGTCATGACGGGTAGGACGCACTCATTAAAGACTTTCGTCTTAAGGCACTGTGGGATCGACGATGAGAAGACTCGACGTAGCTTCCCAAACGCTGCCCAACCCAACCGAATTCTTCTGTTCACCTCGTCCTCGAAGTTGTTTCTACCTAACTGCAATGTCTGCCCGAGGTACACATAATTTTGAACAACTTCGAGAACGGCACCGTGTACCGCAATCGGTTCCGGTAGTACATGTTCGTTGAACATGACCTTGGTTTTATCCAAGTTCATCCGTAGGCCGATGCGTACAGAAGTGTCAGCTAAGTCATTCAGCATTTGCTGTAGGTCCTGCAACGTCTCTGCCATGATGACGATGTCATCTGCAAATCGCAAGTGAGAGATGTATTCGCCATTGATATTGATGCCACGCCCTTTCCAGTGCAGCGTCTTGAACATGTCCTCCATTGCATTTGTGAACAATTTCGGGGAAATAACGTCCCCTTGTCTCACTCCTCGATGCAATGGTACGGGCCTTGTTTGCTGATTCTGTACTTGGACGGACATGGTGGCGGCTTCGTAGAGACATCTCATCACTTTGATGTATCGCCAATCTACTTGGCAACGCTGCAGGGACTCCAGAACAGACCAGATCTCGATCGAGTCAAAGGCTTTCTCATAGTCCACGAATGCTAGACACAGGGGCTGATTATATTCTTCGGTCTTCTGTATAATCTGCCGCACTGTGTGGATGTGGTCTATGGTGCCATATCCGCTCCGAAACCCAGCTTGCTCCGGTGGTTGGAATTCGTCGAGTCTTCGCGCAAGACGGTTCGTGATGACTCTCGAAAACAGCTTGTAGACGTGGCTTAGAAGGGATATGGGTCGATAGTTCTTCAACCTGGTCTTGTCACCCTTTTTGAAGAACAAGACGACCACACTCCTACTCCACGCTTCTGGAGTTCTCCCTTCAAACAGGACAGCGTTGAAGAGCTTTTGGAGCTCCCTCAGTACGGGTTTACCCCCGGCCTTCAGCAGCTCTGTTGTAACGCCATCCTCTCCAGGGGCTTTTCCATTTTTCAGCTGTCCAAGAGCCATCTCGATTTCGTCAATGCTAACTTCTGGCAGGTCTTCGGTGTAGTGACGTGTTAATGTGGCTCTAGAGTCCTCATTTTCGGGATCAGGTCGAGATGCATGCGAAGCGTATAACCGGCCATAGAAGCTTTCCACTTCCAAAAGGACTGCCGGCTTCGAAGCAACGACTTCTCCACTTTCTGTAGTCAACTTTGTCAGGTGGCTTCTTCCAAGAGATTGTACGAACACTTTTGACCCCCGATTTTGCTCGATCGCTCTTTCAATTGAAAGAGTATTGGAGCACCGGAGGTCGTGTCGTACGAGTTTACTGATCTCTCGGTTTAGAGTCCGCTTTGCCGACAAAGTGACAGGTGGGTTTTCACGTCGTTTCTTCATCAGCCCCAGGGTCCTTTCTGAAAGCTTCGACTTCCTGCCCTTACGCTGCATTTCACAAAATCTCATACCTTCTTCCCTGAGGATCTGAACCACATTTTTGAGGTTCTGGTTTACGTCGATTGTGGTTTCCACGGCAGCGAATCGGTTTTCCAGTTTTGACTGGAACGTTTCAGATCCTGTCATGGCTTGGAGCCGAGTTGGTCGGAGCCTGGATTTCATCAAACAGACACGTTCCGCCTTAAAGTTGATATTCAGAGAGCCCCGGACAAGTCGGTGATCACTACCGGTATTAAACCTATTGATCACTGAGACGTCTCTGAATATGTGCTTTCTATCCGTCATGATGAAATCGATCTCATTTCTGGTCATAGCGTCGGGGCTTTGCCACGTCCACTTCCTTTGGGGCTGTTTCTTGAAGAAAGAATTCATCAAAAACAGCCCCTCCCGTTCGAGGAAGTTGACCAGCATTTGCCCCCTATGATTCCTGCTTCCAAATCCATGGGATCCTACTACCGATTCGCCGCAATTCTGTACTCCCACTTTAGCGTTGAAGTCACCCATAACAACGTTGTAGTGGGTCTTAGTGGTGAAGTGGAGGGCCCTCGATATGTCATCGTACATATCTTCCACCTCGTCGTCCGAATGTGCCGAGGTCGGTGCGTACACTTGCACAACCTTGAGGCTATACCTCTCGGTGAGCTTGATAATGAGGTACGCTACCCTGTTCGACACACTGGAAATTTCCACAACGTTGTCAGATAGGGACTTATTTACCAGAAACCCAACCCCACCTTGGGATTGTTGGTCTCCCTCGCGGAAGTACATTAGGTGGCCTGACTCGAGGGTTATGGTGTCCTCCCCCTCTCTTCGGACTTCACATAGCCCTAGGATATGCCACCTAATCTTCCCAAGTTCCACCTCAAGTTGCGCCAGATGCGAGTCTAGCCGTAGCGTGCGTCCGTTGTACGTAGCCAGGGTCAGTCGGTTGTGGTGGCCTCCCGTAGCCCGGAGATTCTTCGCACCCCCTGCCCCGCCTTTACCGAGGTCGCCACCATGACCAGGAATAGCGGGGCCGCCGGGAACTGGGGGCCGTGGCCTTTGTTGCGTCTGCATGGGAGGGGTTTGCCCATAATCGCCACGCTGGGCAGGCGGGTTGGCGATCGCAGGGCGTAGCTTGTCGCACCGGTAACGCTGCTGCCCGTCACCGGCCTGTTGTATTTAGCTACGCCTATTGGGATGGATATACCGCCATCGGTCGGTCGCCAGAGCCTCGTTCGTCGTTCAGCAGGATGCACCGCGGGCAGGTGAGGTTGGCTTGGGGCGAAAGATGGTGGTTCGCCCCTCACACCCCGTGGCCTTATCGACAATTTTATAATACAGGATAGTTATTGATAGTACAGCATATAATCAGGTACTAGTTACTATGTAAGTAGGAAATTAACGGCCTATCCTAGGCGTTATAACAAAAATAGTAGGATTAAAAAAAGATCTCTTAAATGTTTCGTTATGTTTTGCTCCAGAGGTTTCACGAAAATGTCGAGTCAATACGAGGGTGGCGGTACAAAAACTGTTTCCATGTTCTCCAAACTAGTCTCTCAAGGATCTTCATTTGTAATGGAAGGAGTTAAGAACTTGGTTGTCAAGAAACACGTAAGTTCGACAAAAAAAAATTGGCATATTTATTAGGATAAGATTGGTGTCGGTTTCCTTTAGAATATTACAAAGTCTTTCACAGGCAAAATCAAAAGCTTATTTATTTATTACCTCTAGTTTCGTTTTAGTTTTATAAGCATTCTTCATTCCAAGTTTGGCCGATTTGGCTTATGAACAGGAGGGCACTTTTTGGGCTTCTTGAATATTTAATTTTTATCAAATTTTTGGTACAAGGTTGGCTTATGATCCTGACGTAGTCCTCCTAATTCAATTATAAAATCTATTCCATTTTAGCCTTTTCACTAATCGCTTAACCCAGCGAATTAAGACCGGGAGTAGATGACGGCAAGTCTTCAGCTCTGATGAAGTAAGAAACGTTTGTTTCCAACCACACATACAGCTCATCCCACTCAGATCGAGCTTCATATCCGGGGCTGAGTCTTACTGAAAGGACGATTCTTAGTTATGAAATATAGACAACACCATATTATAAGAGACTTAACCACCTTCTCAAGAATCGTATCTTGATACACTTGTACTGATGTTTTGACACCTTAGCATTGATAGTGAACACCTCACCAAACCATCACTGAAATTTGATAATGCCTACATTGCACACTGCTGACTAAAAATTTCTAGTCGGTATTTTTTCCGTGACCACCCTTTGCGTACCGCTTAAGAAGTCGTTTTGATTTTACTACCTTATTCATTTTTTAATTATTAATTAAATGATGACCAATGTGTCTCTTACAGGTTGCTAGTCCTAATAGTCGCGGCCCCAGATGCTTTTTGAAATAAATTTCGAAAACCAAAAAAATAGCTGTTTTTTGAACTATTTTGCAATATAAAAGTATGACGCGTATCTCAGTGATTCTCTAGAGACGTCAAGATGTAACTATACGTATTGTACTAACTTTTAAACTTTCGCGTTCCATGATAATTAATATTATTTAACGGGAATTAACGCGATCTCTTATTTAGGGTATTACTCGAAGGAATATAATCGACGGTATACAGAAAATAAAGCGTCACCCGGGGTACCCGAGAAATCGAAGGACACCGTTGTAAACTTGTCAAACGTGAGTTTAGATGATACAACAATGAACATCTTGGCTAAAGGTATGAACTTCGCTCCGACACCTAAACGAATACCGTTCGAGAATGTAATCAGTAGCGTCGAGGAATCGATTACACGGAACAAAGTACCACCCGGCGATGCCGATATCCTAAGACAGGACGTTGCGGTAATATTACGTCGGTCAAAGCTTCCGGCTAGTAATATCACTATCGAAGAGCGTCAAGCACTAAAAAACATTAGGGAAAACCAGGATATTTTGGTGCTTAAGGCCGACAAGGGAAACGCTACCGTAGTGATGAATACAACTGATTACAAAAGCAAAATACTTGAACTGTTGAGTGATAATAAGGTTTATAAACCGGTAACATACAACCCCACGGCCAGAGTAACGCGAAAAATACGATCTCTAATCCGGGACAATGAGGACCTATTTTCAGAAGACGAGTACAACAGACTGTACAAACCAAAGTCACACCAGCCACCGAAATTATATGGTCTGCCTAAGATACACAAGCCTGACGTACCGCTGCGGCCGATTGTAAGTCAAATTGCTTCTCCTACTTACGATCTAGCAAAGCACGTTGCTTCAGTATTGCAACCACTTATAGGCAAAACACCGTCTTTTGTGAAAGACTCACGGCACTTCATACAAATCATAAAAGATCTGACGTTGGAACCGGATGACGTCATGGTGAGCTTTGACGTGGAGTCGCTTTTCACCAATGTTCCAATAAAGGAGTGCCTAAACGTCGTAAAAGACCTACTGAGAGACAACGAGCTGCCCTTAAACTATATGGATCTACTTGAACACTGTTTAGAAGGCAACTATTTCCTTTTCCAAGGTCAACATTACCTCCAGATTGATGGTGTCGCGATGGGAAGTCCTGTAGCCCCAGTACTGGCCAACATCTGGATGGAACATTTTGAAGAGAAGGCTTTAAATCTCGGCCCGAATACCGTTAAGCTATGGAAGCGATACGTGGATGACATTTTCAGTATCGTCAAAGGAAACAAACAAGAAGTGGATCAATATATACAACATCTGAACTCTATTCACCCCAAAATGAGGTTTACATATGAAATGGAGACGGACAGGTCGTTGTCTTTCTTAGATGTTAAAGTAGCCGTGAGATCGGATGGGTCCTTGTCACACTGTGTGTACCGTAAACCTACTCATACGGACAGATACCTACACGCCACGTCTCATCATCACCCCCGGCACTTGCAATCTGTTATGACTTCACTCAAAAACAGAGCTTACGATCTCTGTGACCCTGAACATTTAGAACAGGAACTAAAACATGTTCAGGAGGTACTCAAAGGTAACGGATATCAAGTGAAAGGAGGACGGAAGCAACCGAAAATAAGACGCAAGTATCCAGAAGTGAACAGGCAACCGGCCTATATGCCTTATGTCAAGGGAGTTACGGACAAGATCGGGTCTGTACTAAAGAAATATTCCATTCCGACAGTATACACACCAGGCATAAAGGTTCACAACATCGTCGGCACACCGAAGGATACATTGCCACTACAAACTCCGGGTGTTTATAAAATAGACTGCAGCTGCGGAAGCTCATACATAGGCCAAACTAAGCGGACTATTGCAGAAAGGGTCAAAGAGCATATCGCTGCTGTGAAGAACCGACAGACGAGCAAATCAGCGATTGCAGAACATGCACTCGATGCAGGCACCAACCACTGGATTGAATTTCACCGCACGCAAGTCCTCTCCACCGAACGTCACTTTTACTCAAGAGTTGTACGTGAAGCGATTGAGATTAAAAAGCATAAAACTTTCAATCGGGAAGATGGTTTTAAATTATCTACAGCGTGGAATCCAGTGTTAAAAAACATACCACCTCGCTTTTCTGCGCAATCGGTTAAACACCAGAATAGGGACTCATCGGTTTGCTTACAGAATAGGGACACTGTTAGTGTGGTATGTGACGGTACATGGCGACACAAAAATAATATCGAAAATGTGCGGGTAGATGAAGAGCCTTCTACTTCACGGATTCGACGACGGAGGGCGTGCGCCGATGAGCCAGTCAGCCTGTGACCACGGCCGGTGCAACCTGGTCGAAACGTCAGGCAAACCAGAGGTATGTAATACCCTAAATAAGAGATCGCGTTAATTCCCGTTAAATAATATTAATTATACGTATTGTTTTCTTAATTAAAAAAAAATCGGCTTGATGGCATCGACCACCACTCTCGTGTCCTTGGGGCCGCGACTATAGGTCATTTTTTTAAATATGATAGATAAAATAGTGTGTTTTCGGACAGGATTTCCTCGAATTCTCTCCGCCACAGCTTTAATCGCCTTTTTCGTACGAATGACCGACCAGATTTTTTTGTTTATTTATTTAAAACTTAATGCACATGTTGTACAAAAGCGGACTTAATGCCATTAGGCTTTCCCTCCCAGTCAACCTTGGTGATCTAGAAATATGATGCGGTAGGTGCAAAATAAAATAATAAATTTAACATAATTGAAGTCCAGAGACATACACAATATATAAACACACATACATAAGTAAAGATACATAAACCTACATAAATTTAATAAAATATATAAATACTCAGTTGGGTAATAGCGTTGTGACTGTTCTGCCAATTTAATCCTAGGCCTAATATTTTTAGGCCTATCAAAAGTCCAGTACACAAACATTCAACTACCTAATGTCATTAATACCAGGCGCAAGGAGTTTCAAAAATTGCATTTGGCTCCAAACCTGCTTGTGTAATGATAGGTATCCCATAGCCATACGGTTCTCTTCATCACCTCACTCCTTTTTAATAATAATTACCACCGATGGCTGAAAATGAGAAAACACAATATCCATAATTAAGAAGACAGATTCCAAATTCAAAGTAATATTGTTTTTTAAACGTAACAATATTTATCATAGAAAATAAACATAGAGTGAACGAGAACCCGAAATCTTGCAATATAGGCAACGAAAGAGAAGGATAACAGATGGTGAAAGAGAAGGATAACAGATGGTTCTCTCTATCTCTTTCTAGTCGATCTCTGGGTTGGCGAATCGCAGCATAGCCAAACAGAGACAGAGAGAAATATCGGGCATCCATCTCTCTCGTCGCCTGTATCGCTTCCAATTAGAGGCAGCCGTACCCCGTGTTCTCTGTACGGTATTTATGGGCAGACTGAGTATAAGGTGATATATAAAAGTTAGGTGAAGTTAGCTTGTGCACGTAACAGAAGCTGCCGGTGAGCCGCGTGGTGGAGGCGGCGCTGTGCGGCGAGGCGGCGGAGCTGTCGTGGCTGGACCCGCGCGCCGCGCGCACCGACGCGGCCGCGCGAGCCCGCGCCGCGCGCCAGCCGCCGCCCAGCGACGCCGTCGTCTTCCTCGTCGGCGGCGGCAACTACATCGAGTACCACAACCTGCTCGACTTCGCCAAGGTAAAACAACAACTTAATATAATATGGGCATCTAACTTGACCGAGTTGAAGTTAGCGGCGAGTTGCAATGCCTTATTGTTTTTAAATTTGATTTTGGCATAAGCCCACCCACACACATACACCTCCAAAAGGTAAGCGCCACTTCCATATATAGGGTAATCGCCGGAAAAGGTATCTGATCTTATTTATTTTATCGAAACCGTAACTGGAAGCGCCTAACATCGTGACACTGACACTGGTTTGGCCACCATCATGAATTTAAATTTTGATAACACAAAAAATTAGTCTAAATTTGTAGGCAAGTCAAAGATTTAGTCGGGTCTTAGCTTAGGAAATATAAGGAGCTCAATTTTTGAATTAGGTATAGTCAAAGAGCTAGATCGCGAAAAGTATACGAAAGTTTTTTTTACGAAAAGTATTAGTTTACGAAAAATATACTACGATACATATAATACGACATTATAATATATGTGTACTTCTAGTTTTAAGTCATTAGAAATCTCAGTGACAGATAGTATTCCTAATTAAATACATGTTTTTATGTTTTAAATTACTAGGTTAGAGTAAGTATATAAATTTATTTATTACATGAAGAAATGGAAATAATAAAATACACAAACCAAAACTACAAATTATAATGTTAAGCTCTAATTTTCGTTAGAATAATAAAACTTCTATTGCCGAAATAGGAATATATGTACATATACGTTAAAATTATCGTACCTTTAGGATAATGTTTAAAATACTTAAAACTAGGTATTTTAAGTATATAAGTATCATTCTATTGCTTGAAATATACTACAATAACGTTACAAAAAACAACCTTCCTTTACCTAATCTTAACTCAGAGATAAAATACTTAAATACCTAATAATATCATGATCTATCATGCATAATAAAACTCTGTTTTGAAATATAAAATGATTTATTACTTTAAAATTATTGTACTTAAAGTAAAATGTCAAAAATACATACCTACTTAATGAAGGATACCTGGATACCTATTAGGTATATATTAGGTAAGAGATTTACTCTTAATAAAATTGCATTAATGTTTCTTCGTGCCCAAACGAAACCAATGCCGATCGATACCTACTCGACGACACATCACAGCAACCTTAATCTTTTAGCCAGCGACACGACTGTGACCTGTGTGTTTGTGTGTGTGTTAATATAATAAAAAAATAAAATACAAACATATAAAGTTATTCCATAATTTAAACCAACCAAAAGGAAGCTGTATTCATTACCTAAACTCGGTTCCAAAAATAACGGGTCAGTCACATACACCCGAATATCTCCCGAACTACGTATGCCATCCTAATGAAACGAAGACTGTTCAATTGAGAATTTAATTATACAGATAAAAAATAAAATAAAACTTAAATCTAAACTCTCTAACTCTTAACTTATCTCTAAATTAAAAAAAAACTAAAGTAGTCATATTTTTCTTAAGATTACATTTTTTTATGATTGTTTTTTTGCTGTTTTTCATCACTTTCTTCATTTAATACTTTGTATTGCCTCCACGAGCTCTTCTGACAGCTTCCAGGCGATTAGGCATGCTGTACACCAAATTTCGGAGCCGGTGCTGAGGAATACCTTCCCATTCCTCCACCAGTGCTTGTTTGAGCTCGGGAAGCGTGATTGGTGGGGGGTTTCGACCTTTCACGTATCTCTGAAGCTCGTCCCAGGCGTGTTCGATGGGGTTTAAGTCAGGGCTTCGCGCTGGCCACTGCATAAGTTCGATACCGACCTCTTCAAGGTAGTCATGTACAATTCTGGCGGTATGGGGACGCGCATTATCATGCATTAATATGCCATGCCGGTCCATCCTGGCCATGAAAGGCCTACATGTTCATTGAGGATCTCTTCCACATACCTCTCTGCATTTAGAGTTCAATTTCGACTGCACGGATGGCGTAGTGGTTTAAGCGGTCGCCACGCCGCTTTCTATTGCGCCGAGTGTTGTGGGTTCAAACCCCACATGGGATAACACTTTGTGTGATCCACAAATTGTTGTTCTGAGTCTGGGTGTACTTTGTGTCCGTTTCATATATGTTTGTAAAGTCCCCCGCGACACAGGATTTATTCCTAGTGCGGGAGTAGTCTTTAAAAAAAAAAAACCATTTTGAATGAGTACCAGCTCGGTGCGGGCCTTAGTAGAAATCCCAGCCCAAACTTGTACGGAGCCTCCACCGTACGTCACTTTTTCCTCCACACACGCTTGATGGAAGCGCTCCCCTGGTCTTCTGTACACCAACTGCCTACCATCATGCTTATGAAGCATGAATTTAGACTCGTCCGTGAACATTACCCTAGACCAATCGTCTAGTGTCCAGTTTAGGTGCTCGCGCACGTATCTTTGTCTTGCAATTCGATGTCCCCGTTCCAGTTTGGGGCCATTTGCGGGCCTCAATGGTTTCAAATTTGCTTCAGCAAGACGTCTTCTTACTGTTTGAGCGCTTAAATTGCCACCTCCAAAGCGAATAAAGTGAGTTTTTAGACCAACAGCAGTTTGAAAACGATTTCGGAGCATTGTAGCCACCAGTTGTCTGTCTTCCTTGGCCGTTGTGCATCTTGGTCTGCCATTTCCTGGTCTTCTAAGGTGTGATCCGGTCTCTTGGTACCGCTGGACTACCCGCTGAACAGTCGACAAAGATACACCAATGTTTCTGGCTGTTTCACGCTGGCTCCGCCCAAGTTCCAAAAAAGTTAGGACTCTGGTACATTCCTCTAGCGTGACTGCCATGCTTCACCTCACAGAATAATAATTATGCACATGGAAGACGTTCACGATATTTTTTTTTGTGACAATAGAAATGGAAAGCATCTATAATGAAATGAAACAAAAAAATTGTTTTTAAAAATAGTCATTTTTTTAAATTTTGTTTTTCTAATGAAGTTTTTTTCATCAACCAGTTTAAATAATATGCTATTAGAAGCGCAACTAAAAAGTCTTTATTCTGTTTTTTATTTCATTGATCTAACTTTTACAGTACTGGAGGTATTTCAATTTTTGTGACTGACCCGTAATTTTTGGAACCGAGTGTATAAACAGATCTAGGTACAGTAAGTATAAATATAAATTTTAAAAAATCCCCGACACATCTTCGATTTAAAATTTGTGCTAGTGTGTTCTATTAGTCAAGCCCTTTCATTTGATACCCATATTGGTGAAAAAATATGTAATCCGCCATTTTGTGGCGGCGGCCATGATGGACCGAAGAACACTCCCGAGTAATACACCGTTCAAACAAAAAACAAAAACAAAATCGGTTCATCCGTTCGGGAGCTACGAAGCCACAGACTGACACACACAGACACGTCAAACTTATAACACCCCGTCGTTTTTGCTTCGGGGGTTAAAAATCATATAAATAGTAAAATATGCACTTAGTCGCTGGCAGATAGACTGCTGCGTTCCCTTTTATTTAAGGTAAGTAAAAAAGAAACAGATGCGCGTGTACAGACGAGCTACTTAGAGCGAGTTGCCCGTGACGTGAGAATAAACTCGGTCATAGTTAACAGTGGAGCATATTATGAATAGATAGTATTAGGAACTCGAGTAATAACGGTTTTTTAAATATATAAAGATATTTGATAATTTTCTATTCTATTCTAATTAGGAAAAAATAATAACATGTAGGGAAACCTTTTTTTATAATTTTTATTTCTAGCTAAAATAAATAATAATAAATGAGTGTGCATTTTAGTTTGCCATAAGTGCGTAAAGCGATCCCTATTCGGCCGCCGAGCGCTCGAAGATCGGTGCCGGTAAGTATACGGTAATTTTCACCGATTAGGTAACGGTAGGTTTTTTAATGTAACGTAAATCAGAGCCTAACATTATAATTTGGTAAAACAGGTGTATGCAACTGTGCCTATTGACACCAGACCAAGAGCAAAGTTTAATGTTTTTAAAGAAGTTTAAGTTACTCTAACCTAGTCATTTAAAACATATTGTATTTAATTGAGAATTTATTTATCTCTGATATTTCTAAGGACTTCAGACTGATAAAACTAGAACTACATTACACATTTACTAATAGAAATATTTTTTCTTGCCCATATTTCGTTAACTCTTCGATCTAGCTTGCTAGCTTCTAAACTAAGACCCGAGTAAATCTGTGGTGTGTACCATTTTGCGTTGCCAAAATTTCTAAAGGAAGAAGAAAGTCTAAATTTATCATATATTTCAGCAACAAGCGACAAGTGGAACCCCAAGGAAAATAATATACGGCGCCACGACCCTTCCCAACGCGTCTCAATTCTTGAAGCAACTCTCACTGCTCGGCGAGGAAATCCAATAAACGTTATATAATAACGTTATTAACGTTATATTGCAATCGTAATGTATATTGTAACATAAAGTGAATATTATATGTAATTTAAATTTTATTAAAATTTCGTTTGGGTGGTTGTATAGACAATGAAACAAGTGTCTCAACAAGTTGGCATTTTATTTACAATGACATTGAAAATATAGCTAACATCTAAGAATCTACTAATAAATTTTGATTGTTTTAAACAAGAAGTATAAAATCTAAATCACAAGAGATTTTTCAACATTTATCAGATCTTAGCACAAGTTCTACACATCTTGAAAAAAATAAGTGTCAACGTTAAAAGAAAAATAATTTCACAACCTAAAAATATAGAACAGTAAATGTGATACAGACATTAAAACAAACTTGTTGATTTTACATCCCAGCCCTTAGACTATTGTGCTTAATTAGATATACATAGAAACTAAAATGTATGTATGTTCACTTAAAACATATACATAGTTAATAACTTTCGAAAAATAGTAAATATGTTATAGAATACTCTTACACTAAACATTAATGATAAAGAAAAAAAGTAAGTAGTATTTGAATGACAAGGAACTTGAAACTCGCTTAACACAGCGGTCACTGTTGCTCTATTGTGATAAAACGTGTTAAGTTACACACAGTTATTCTTACAAGTTACGAGTACAACATTATCACTGATCATGATATGGTTTTGGCACAGTGAAAACTCAAAACAAAAATGGTCTAGAGAGCAAACTTAGAAAGGTAAATATTTCTAAAATATGGATATATCTGTGTAACCATGGCAAGATCATGTTATTGTATATACAATTGCTTGTTTGTATACGTTGAACAACTTCGATGAACATCATAAGTGTTTATGCTGAAAAGGAACGGAATATTGACGGTTACCGAACATTTAAATAGACATTATTATATGGACCTTATAAATTGATCATGGACAACAACATGTATTAAATTATTTTTTACTTACATAAAATATTGTGCGTTCTTAAAAAATAATGAAATTTAAAAATGAAATCACCAACACATACGTGATCAAAGACAATATAAAATATTACAATTAAAATCATGGCACATTTTAAATAGGTATATCGATGCGCCACAGTTTACGGATTAGTTTCTTTAACTAATAAGTATATCGGATTATAATGGATCACTGCCCGTATACATGACTATAAAATCGTCGTACAAATTAATACCAATAGTAGGTATACCAATTTATTTAATAAATACAGGAGTTACATAAATAAAACATAAATGAAAACTAAAAAAAAACTGTCGAACAAATAAATGAAGTCTAACAACGACGAAACCTATAACAGTAACCTTATTATACAAACTATAGTAAATATAAAGACCACTTGACAAACTACTAAAATTACACAGATTATTAAGGCGCATTTAGACATTTATGGAACATTACTACACTTATAATTATTAAAAACTTTAAAGCAGTGCAATGCTTAACAATCAAGCGATGAATTATTATGACGATAATTCAAAAAGCTTTAACGATTAAGATAGTTAGCCAGCCTGCGCATCACACGCAACCTTGGCCAATTGTCACAAATAAGTCGTAGTCATTCTCAAGCTAACGAATCAAGATATGTTTTTCAACATGAGATTTTTGGAAAGGAAGACCTTTACGTGCAGAATTATCTGTTATTTGATGTGTTATGTTCATCGTAATAGCTAGTGAACAAATAAAAAAAAAATGTTCACTATATGTACCATGGCATTTTAAGCTTCTTTAATTAAAAAAAATACTGTATTAACTTAGAGCTAACCCCTCTAAATAAGCTAAATGCTTGTGTTGTGTAATACTTAGCCTTTATTACTGCCACCCCCGGGCGAAAATGAAGTAAAATTCAATATTGGCTAAAAGATCCAAAAACTTAAACATATTAACAAAAAATAATAATAGATAAAGGTGTTTATAAACTAAATATCCATTTTTAAAACATCTTTATCCAATGATAACATGTTACTTTTAAACATTTATTAATGGCAATAACAACAATTCATAATGATGTCAAATTTAATACAACTGAGGTTTATGTCAAGTTATTGAATTTTCGCTTTTGTGCGCCGCTTATAGTGGTACCTTGGTAGTTTAGACTTTATATATGATGTATCTTATCAGGCCATTGCACGTAACAAGAGACTAGCTCGATAAGTTGTTATAAGAAGTTATCAGTGAAAGGTATGGACGGCAGATAGATTCATTAAAAAGTATACCTATAGTATCTATTCCAAAAATGCAGTGCATTGTTTTTTTCAAGTGAATACACATTTGACCAGGAGCATGAAAGAAATAACAAATACTTCGTATTTAAACTTGGAATGTTCAATAATTTTTTTAGCTGTAAAAGCCTGCAAATACTTCTAAATCAGTTATTTTACTAAGTACCAACTACTGATGTTAAATTACATAAGTACATAAACGTAAATAAGTCAAATCATATAAAAAATGCTACCCTCACAGCTTCTTCAAATCCTTTAACAAGACAGCACAATACTTAGATATAAAAATATACTGAAGAAATGGAATGTTAAAAGTATAACAGATCGTTCCTAATGCACACAATTTCCACTAAAGGAATGTCATCACTTTAAAACGTTCGCTTTTGACATAAAAATAATAAGTAAAAGACACTTAAAAAATAGGTTTGAATTTACTCAGATCGTGAGAGACAAGAAAGAAAAAAAAACTAAAATCATGAGATTCTACTTCAGTGATATCTGTACATAATTCATTAAATCATGGTATTGTATTTTATTAGATAGAGTCAATAAAATAAAATATTTTTACAAATTTGAGGACAAAACGTGATTTATAAAATCTATATATATATATAAAGTATACTACCCCAATTCTAAGTAGAGTTGAGTAACAGATCATATAAAATTACTACATTACACCCGTAAGATCCCACTTTCTATACTGGTGAATCTTTAACATTTTTCAAATGAAAGTGAAAGTTAATAAAATCCGCGGATAATTAGAGATATTAGTTTTACGGGAAATTAACTAGCTATCACTTATAATTTCAGTCTTGCGCGTACAGATCTTTCACTTTACCGATGTAAATAATAAATTGTGTTACTCAAAATAGTAAAGAATAATAAATGGTAGGAGTCCCTATAAAGCGATAACTGCGAACGACAGAAATATTTAATCTAAGGATTTAACGTAGAGTATTATTATGACAACATTTAATTAAACAGTGCATATACGTAAGTTATTTATAATTCCACTACTAAACAGGTATGTATGTAGGTATTCGAATATGACAGAGGATATATAGGACTTAGCTTTAGGATCACAAAACTTACGCTAGGCATAGCATAGGTGATCATTAACAAACTTTAAAACAACTACTTTGAAGGGTTAAATAGAATAATCACAATACATGTCTGAGGAACCGCACATTTGTGAACGCACATTTGTGCGAGAACGGACAAACTGGATGTCACATGTTGTCACAGCGGTTTAACATCCTCCTTGCCTAAAATACTTTTATCATATCCAACCATTAACATTAAAGTGTAAATATTCGTCACTTTATTATTCTAATGAATTTCGCAACAGACCTTATTATTATGTGATTTGTCAGTATCACACACCTAAGTAATAATAATTTAGTCAGTATCTTTTATAGAGAACATTTTATTATCCTACCTAATTATTTTGCTTCACTTGAAATATATTAAATAAAGATTTCTTAATATTGGGCAAACTATGAGTGGTCAAGATTTTACATATTATTAAATCTTGTCGTGTTACTTGAAATCCAATATATAACAAGTTGAAGTCGAACTTTATTATTTTAAGAAGAGAAAGCGAATATATGTCTCATAAAATGTAAGATAGTTCTAGAAAATAGTTTTTGAAAGAATATAGTGTAACTCCATATTAATTTTTTATATTCAACTACAGTCATATTAATTATTATAAATCCAATTAAAATGATATATATACTTTCGTACAAGCAGAAATGATAAAATGACTAGACATAATTGTCTTAAAAACAGTTCGTTGATTTTCAATAATTATGCAACGTGACTACAATATGTTTTGTATGCACTGCTCAAGTATACAGATTGTAGACCGTTGATTTTAATAGGTAGTTAATTATATAGCGCAGAGGCGTCGCAAATATAGCAATGACAAATCTCAGACGTACCTAGTAGCAACTGTTTTGACAATGAATACCAATCAATATAATATATCTATCAATTTAACAAGCTTCGGCCAAATGGCCTTGTTACAAGATCATGTCCAACTTAATAATATTAAGACCTTTAGGTTCCTAGGTACCTTTCTAGGTAGATATAACAGAGGAAATTGGAAGATGTACAGCCAAACAAAACAGCTATTGCTTAGACTGTGCATTAGCATTGCGACTTGAGCTGCTGCTATTGAGTGCCATCTTCTGCATTTGTCTGATAACAGTAGTAGCATGGTAAGCCTGTTTCCAGCGTGACTTCGCGAAGTTCTTCTTGAGTTGTTCGGACACGGTCCCATGGATGTTCTTATTGCTGGCAGCATTTCCTGAAATCCATGGGTGAGCCAAGGCTTGCCTGAAAAAAATAAATTAATATAAATACAAGAAAGAAAACACATAACCTCTGGCAGCACTTTGATTTTTTCAAACAAGGTCTCGAACACGCCTGATATATGTTCCTGTTGTTTTGAACTTACGATCCAAGTAGGTGCTTTTAAAAATGATAATTACTATCTCAATATTACACGGATGGGACGTAACCGGTTATCACTGAATAATCAAGAACTAGTTAAGTGCACAGAATGTGGCGCTTGGTCCAACACTAAACATATTTTACAGATAATCCTGATATTTGCCTGCAAAATTTCTCGATAATATATGAAGTGTTTTTTAATATAAGTAGAATTATTAATTGTTATTATATGTGGACGTAACTTATGTCATAGACAAAGTTTTAACTAGTTTCGACCTACTTTTTAAATGCAAATTTAATGCTTATAAAATAGGGGAGCACAGGGAGAATGGTAGCATTGCTGCCATTCAAATTGCCAGAATTTAATTGTAACAGACAGCTCTTATAAAGAAGATTGGAATTCAAATCAAGGCATTACTACTATTATCAAAGCAAAGCATTACTTATTTGATTTGAATTCCAATCTTCTTTGGATTGAAATCCAAATTTAAACATTATACATATAAGTAGGTACATATTATTATTACGTTTACGTATAATCTAAAGTATTTAGCACGTTACCGACAATCTTTACATGTCAGGTATTCTATACAACATGTAGATAGTGTATAGAATACCTAGGGTGTCTCTAGGTAATGTATGAAATATCCACACTTCCATACTTATAAATGTAAAAGTGAGTTTGTTTGTTTGTAACGCTTTCGTCTTTCTGTCAAGAAAGGAATGCTACATTATCAGCGAATAACATAGGCCACTCTTTATCGCGATAACCGACATACACACGGGTAAAAGCTAGTAATGTAATAAGTAAATCAATTTTACCTAAAATGACGCACAAACGAAACAAGTTATTATATAATATAGTTTTAACATACTTTCCATTAAAGAAATGAAGTCTAACATCGGCACGATTATTATAAAATGTTTTCAATTAACAAATTCAGTAACTTATATACGTTTACTGCCTGTCCGCACGTCTTCCGCTTCTTTGCTCTGGACTTTTATAATTTACCAGCTACTTATTCTGTATTATATAGAATACCTAGGTAAAATATAAAATAAATAATATTTTATACATTACCTAAACACACCTAGTGTTCATTCTATACATTCTGCGGATGAAATATTAAATTACCTAACCATAATAATAATCATTATATTTTTTATTCAGAATAAGCCAAAAAATATCAGAAATGGTATCTCTCCAAATTGTACAAAGATTTTCACTTAGGTATTTCTTATGATTACCAGTAATTTTCGGTAAGGTAAAACAATGAACAAAAAAAACATGACGAATAAAACCAGCATCGTTTTAACAAGGAGACCATTGTCCAGTGACAAAGCGTTATATTGCAGGATGTCGCCTTCAGATCCGGATCGCTAGAGCATTTCAAAACACGGATTTGGTCAATAAGAATACAGCTTGCTTTGTATTCAGCGAAGCGTACGGTCCTAACCTAACATATCGGGCAACATCTGTACATCTGGGTAGCTTAACGCAAGTGTCGAGCACTGATGTGAAAGTGAAAGTCGGGCGATGTGGCTTAGCGACTTTTTCTCTATTCATTTTCTATATACGGGTGACGAAAAAATTGTCTGTAGACACATTGTGTTTAATGCAAGTCAAGATCTTTGATTTATTGGATTTGCATCCGCCTCGTATATCAAAATACTTATTAAAACATTATGAAAATTCACGATAAAAATAAAGAAATTCATTTTCTCCTACATTATGGATGAGACAAAACACGGAAGAAGACCGGAGGTGCGGCAAAATGCAGTCAAAACCGCGAGGAATTGCTAGTGATGCTATAAATGAAAAGAAATCAATAGATTAAAGCTCCATAGATTGTAATCATCGAATTTGATAATTATATTAGTTTATAACCATATTTAAACACGAAATGGGAAAACTTTCAAAAGAAGAATCAATTAATAACAACTTAACTGGAATTCATATTTATCACTCAGAAATATGATAAAGGCAATAACAACGACTAGTATGACTACATGTTTACCATAAATGAGTTCATCCATATATATTGATGTTATTTATACACAGATAGTCAAAATGAGATAAAAGATTAAAACTGACGAGGGTTGATGTTGACCGTTTTTAATGCAAATAGTATTTTTTTATAATTGAGGTTAGAAATCAATCTTTAATGATTGACTGATGTACGCTAAATATAGAAAAATAATATTGTACCTACTTTACAATATGTTTAGGGTGATAAGCAATCTTACTTGGACCATATTTTTCATGTATTCAAACCACTCCAAAGAATATTTCATTCATCTTTTGATTTATTCTTTACAATATTAATGTAGATTTAAATAGTAAATATTATGTACAAAGGCGAGCTTAACCCAAATCTGAGTCTTCTTTCAGCGAATCTTTAATGCAGAGAATGGAAGAACAAAGTCTGCAAATGTACTTAGGCATAAGTAGAAAAAATATACATTTTTTACAAAAACACATTGTTACTAACACTATATGGATGTAATAGTCCGAAATAAATAATTTGAATTGGATTGAATAATTCAAAGACACACATTTGTAAAGTGGTAATTTAAAACATAGAAATATATAATACGAGTAGTAACGACTTGACATAGGGGAAGAAGTTTGAAGAAGAAGCAAAAAAGAGGAGCAACAGGGCTTTTTCCTAGGAACAAAGTGCTTGCAGCGCTGTGTGTTGTGTGATTCGGGTTGAGTGTTGCAAGGAAGGTAAGGTGGAATTCAACCTGTGCTTGTTAACTTTCAATAATGGAAAACACCATATAAACGAATGGCTATGAAATTCACCCACAACAATCAGAAACAAGACAAGGCATTGATTTTGCTTTACATAATGAGCATGTGCTCACTATGTAACTATGTCACTGAAATTGTGCTTTCGTAACAATTGCCCTAGTCGTGAACAATGAAGAATTTTTTGCTTATTTTGATCACGGCGTTACAAAAATGGTAGTAGCAACCTTTAACTGCTTATATGTGGGAAAACTCTTATACAGCTTTTACTACTGCTAACTCATAGTCGCATTTGTACATAGTTATTTTTAAACCAAATTGTTGTTTTAGTATTAAAAACAACCTCTACATGTAAACTATAAATTTGATAATATGGAGCTGGTACAATTTTAAAAGTACCGTCGCCGTATAGGGTTTCAATAGATTTTAAATATTCTCGTAACTCTGAACGTGTTAGCACTGAAAATAATATTATTCTACCGAACAAATAATATACGTCGTATACACAACAGCACTGCAGAGAGAAGAAAAACTTGACACAAACCCTTTTTTTTTTTTTTTTTTTTTACGTGTGGAAATCCCCTCGGACCGTCACCCCTCCGGGGTTTGCGGCGGGGTGGTGTGTCGGACTCGGACCGACTAAAACCACACGGTGTGCCACTCTGCGCCTGTAACAGGAGGGATCCGGGCACAGCTGTTGTTAAGACATCCGGACCCCTCCTAGCGCCAGCCCGCTCCTGGTGCGGGCTCCGTCTCACTGTTGATGTTCCTCTCTTTAGGCGACGTCCGGCACACGCGGACGCCGCCCCCTCGCGGCTGGCCAAACTAATGCGGGTGGAGGGGAAAACCCACCCCGTCCACCCGCGGCCACACTCAGGGCGGCATGAGGCTGTGGTAGGCGGGCCTCCGCCGCCCGGTTCGCCGGCGGCGGATCGGGTCCGAGTGGAGGTCGTCCTCCCGGGCCCTCTCCGCCGCCTCCTTCCGCGAGATTACTACCTCGCAGAAGGTTGCGACCGCGGTAAAACAACTGTCGCTACCGGCCATGGAGCGTACTACGGCCGGTAGCGAGAGATCCACTCCGATGACTGCAGTGAGGGCCCGGCGCTGCGCCGCCCATGCGGGGCAGACCGCCAGCGTGTGCTGGGCCGAGTCCTCACTGCAGTCGCAGTGGTGGCAGGCGGGACTCAGTTCCCTCCTAGCGACCGTGTGCAGGTACCTTCCGAAGCAACCATGCCCGGAAAGCACCTGCGTCAGCCGGAAGGAAAGGGTCCCGTGCTGCCGCCCTGCCCACTCGGCGATGACCGGCTGGAGAGCCTCCACGGCGGCGAAGCCAGCGCGTGGAGTCTCCAGCCGGAACGACCAACGAGCCATCGTGGCTCGGCGAGCGGCTTCGCGCCACTCGCGCACATCCTCGGGCGGAGGGCGAAATCCGCTCTCCGCCCGGTAGTCAGCCAACTTCGGCGAGCACTTCCGCCTCCAAATCCCACGGGGGAGTTCCGGCCAACGCGCATGCCACCTCCGTAGAAACGGTTCGGTAACCGCGTATGGCTCTGACCGCCATTACCCTCTGAGGGCGCCAGAGGCGTACCCTATTCTGGGCGGTCAGAGCCGCCGCCCACACCGGTGCACCGTACAGCGCCATTGACCGGACAACCCCCGTGTACAGCCGTCTTGTCGCGACGCTGGGTCCACCCATATTGGGCAAAAGTCGCCCTAGGGCAGACGCAGCGCCGACCAGCTTTGGAGCAAGCTGTCGGAAGTGCTCGTCGAAGAGCCACCTCCCGTCGAGGATCAGGCCCAGATATTTCATCTGGGCCCGAACCGGTACGAGGACCGAGTTGACCACGTTATTGCAGGCCTCTTTTTTGCAATCGTCCATAACTGTGTCTATTACATTACGTGTTAAAATGGTAGAATCACAGGTGTGCTGCGCGGGTCTCATGATCTCATTATTAGTATTTAGTGCTTTTGCTTCGAACACCGCCAATTCGTCGTGCTGCACTTATTTTTTAATAATTTTTTTACCTATATCCTCCATGTAGTAATACTGCGCCCGTCGGCAATATTTTTTTTGAGCCCACTGTCCTTTTTTTTGAAAATATGATGTTTACAGAATGTTGTGTTTCCTAATGTGGTCTTATAAGATCATGATATTATGAGAATACGATGTTATGAGAATATGATGTTTTACGAATGTGGTTTTTTGAGAATATGATATTTTTTATGTCTTTTTTTATGTTAGAGGGGGCAGACGAGCAGACGGGTCGGGGACGGACCTGATGGAAAGTGACCATCGCCGCCCATGAATGTCTGCAACTCAGGAGTCACAAACGCGTTGCCGGCCTTTTCGGAAGGAGTACGCTCTTTTCTTGAAGTCGTATCAGTTTGGAAATACCGCAGACGATAACCCGTTCGACAGACTGGTTGTGCGGGGCAAAAAGTAAAAATTAAAAAAAAAAGTTATAGGACGGAGTCACTGACACTATTCTTGATGTTATGAGTGCAGGCTGTTTCATAGACTTAGTAGTAGTTTATTTCTTCCTATTCTCTTAATTAGCTTTTCTTATCTTTCATTCCTTATTTTTACAAACTATTTTTATTTTTAATCGACTTCAAAAACACAAAAGAGGAGGTTCTCAATTCGACTGTATTTTGTCTGTTTGTTATGAGAAAATTCTTTTTGTAATCCTGAGGTGGTCTTACTTCCAACAAAACAGGATCTGATGATGAGATCCCAGTGAAATCCAAGGGAACCCCTAAAATTTTACATCCCCGACAACGTTTTTTAGGAAGAGTTTTAGGAGTTAGAAGATTTTTTTTTCAATAATATATGTATACATGTATTGACCTTGTTTTATTATTTCAAGATATTTGTTAGGTGTTTGTGTTGGGTTACAGAGATATAGAAATTACCTAATAAATGAGGTTACAAAACATAAAAAAAATTATTTGATATGCAATTATTTTCATGTTTGTAACCACAAAAGTCTTCCATTTGTACACCGATTTTGAAAAATTCTTTTTTATTTTGAAGGGAAAATATACATTTTCCCTTTGATTCCATTCAAATGTACAGAAAAAATACCATTCTTAGTGGTAGAAAACAATTTATTTTTAGGTTCATATTTAACATATTACTACCTTATATAAATAAAGTAATAAAGCTGTGATTGATCACAGAGATTTCACCATTTATTGTGATTTGGTCATAGACAAACATAAATGCCAAAATCAATCAAAATTCATATCAAAGATTACAGGCTTTTTTTAGATTTAGACCTGTCGCGAGTCTGGCACTGGCGTAATAATATTATAAGTCACAGTGGTTTTGCAAACTAGTCATAGGTGTGATTATATGACTAATAAATCATATGATCACGGGCGAAGGTGATTTCATTTCATCCCTATTGCACAGTGAAATTTGGCATACTTACATGTGGCATGATGTAGACACATTAAAGTATTTTCACCATTTCGAAAGGTAGTTTTGATTAAATATTTAGTTTCTAAAAAGGAATGATGTTACCAATTTGACTTTTTTGAATTATCTATTGCTTCCTTTCTTAATTCTTCTAACTGCAGAAAATAACCTATTGTCAAAGTCAAATTATCTATTTGAAATATTAAGTAAATTATATTGTATGCCTTTGTATACTTTAACAAAGCTGTAATATATTTAGGTAGGCTAGATTTTATAACTGTAATAAATACAGTTAAGCAAAAATTTTATGCATCACAAAGTAACTTAATTAGAACTGTATTTCCAAAATATGCTGGATACCAAAATAAAAACTAATTTTACACAACACGAAGCATATGTTTTTCTAAAATTGAGAAAAATCTTGTAAAAATAATATTATAAATAAAATAAACGACTGTGATTTTAAAACTCTAAAGTAGAATTGCAGTTTTGTAGAACGATTCACTTCAATATTTATATGTGTAGTCAAAATGACAGTGAATTACAAAAATTAGGATGTTTCTAATAAGAACTACAACATGCAAGATCACAAATTTCTAATTACATATGAACTTTTTAAGTACTTACTTGCAAGTGTATCTCTTATCCACATCAACACACATTAAATGTCGGATGAAATCCTTCGCTGAATCACTAATATCATCCCAATAAGGTGAGTCGAACTCAAAATCTCCTTTTAGGATCTGAGCAAACAGATTGGCATCATTCTCATCATAAAAAGGTGGGTAGCCGCACAATAAAATGTATGATATTACTCCTATGCTCCATACATCAACAGCCTTGCCATATGGCTTCTGTGCAAGTACTTCAGGAGCCACATAACCAGGTGTGCCACAAGCTGTAGCCATAATACCAGAGTCTTCAATCTTTGACAAACCAAAATCACTTATCATGATTTTACTGTCCTCATCTGCACTATAATAAAGCAGATTTTCTGGCTTCAGATCCCTGTGCACTACACCCTGAGAGTGCATATAGTCTACAGCTTCCAATACTTGTCTTATTAGATTGGATGCATCTTTTTCAGTGTAGGAGCCTTTTTCCACTATTCTATCGAATAATTCGCCACCTGTGACTAGTTCCATCACCAAATACACTTTATTTTTATCTTCATATGTCTCGAGCAGCTGGACAATATTCGGGTGAGAAAACATCTTCTTTTCAGCACCTTCGCCTTTTGCTTGTTCACTGAATCTTTTCAACACCCTAATTTCATTTTCTAACGAATCTTCTTTGCCTTTAAGAGCCTTTTTATCGATAATTTTACAGGCGAATAGCTGCCCATTTTCTTTACTCTCTATCAAACGTACTTCGGAAAATGCTCCAGTCCCAAGCAAATCTTTAACAATGTATTTGTCTTCGATTGATGGCTGTTTCTCCGATTCCTTATTATCCTTTTTGGACTTTCGCCCGAAATCTTTTTTACCAAACAGAGGCATCTTCGCGCCCCACGCTCACAGATTTTGAACTACACTACTACTTATCTAATAAATATCTACGTATACACGGCAGCTAGGTATAACCAGACTGGCTCGACAGACAGAACAATATCTTGCTCGGTTGGATTCACGAATGTTGCGCAGGGCACCCAAGGTCATACGATTTGTCAAAAATTTATTACACGTTTTGTTGCATACAAAATGAAGCCTTTTGATATCGAAATAATTAAATATTTAGATTCAAGTAAGTGTTAAAGTAATAAAATTTCATAGATTTGGAATAACTTTTAAATTAGGTACTTTATAGAATAAACCCATGTTCAATATATTAAATAAAACTAATAAAAATGATTATTATTAACTCGAGCTACAACAAAACGTTCAGTTTTAGTTCTAGCAAAATGAAAGAAACGCTTAGTTACCTACATAACCACTATAATTTCCGAGATTAATGTTTTTGATTCAAACATCCAAAATTTTATAACTATTTCAAGACATTATTTTAACTATCATTTAAAACATAAATGTATATTTATAAATAAAGTAATGACTAATTTTAACTCGGGAACAAAATACGAATGTGCCATAAACGCCGGCGCGGCGATTCATTGACGAGATAATATATTACCTGTCACCTATGTATTTAACCAGTATTAAACATATTTATTATAATTCTTTGTTGTTTGTCTACTTTTTTGATGACATAAAATTTATGTGTGGTTCAGATAATATTATAATATACCCTGAAAAGTCTATCATATCATGATGAAAGTTTATACCGTATACGTCAGTGAGGCTTTTAGTTAATCATTTCAGTTTAGTACCTTACTTTAGACATACATAGGCACCTCCGACTTATATTACCGAAGTCAGATATAGAGTGGTGTATCATCATCAGCATATCGCAGTCCACTGCTGGACACAGGCCTCTCCCATTGCGTGCCACTTATATAGTTTTTGGGCTTCTCGCCAACCAACACACCTCACGTGCCCGCGGTGCATCCCGCTAAACGACGAACGAGGCTCTGGCGACTGACCGATAGCGGTATATCCATCCGAATAGGCGTAGCTAAATACAACAGGCCGGTGACGGGCAGCAGCGGCACCTAGGTCCTGCAATCGCCAACCCGCCCGCCCAGCGTGGCGATTATGAGCAAATCCTCCCCATGCAGACGCAACAAAGTGGTGTATAGGTAGGTGTATTACATGTGTTTGCAAAAATACCTAATAATAGGAATGCACATACTTTCAAACCAAAACCTCCATCGTAGGGAGAGGCCTATGTCCAGCAGTGGACTGTTAACGGCTGTTGATGATGATGATGATGACATACCTTCATATAAATAAGTGGTTATGTAATATTAAACGGTTAAAATGTACGTATATGAACGTGTAGATAGTATTTCTAGCAATTACGAAACTAGTGCACTAATGCATTTAAAGGGCACTGGCACGAATCTGATAACAAATAGGTATCGTTACATTACCGCTGCTTATATGCTGCCAACCCAGTAGAGTTTTTTTTCTGACTATGTTTCCTAAAGTTTTCTTTATCAAAGTAAGAGTTGATAACTCAAAAATTTAATAATCATTCTTCAGGTTTCTGGTAGGTAGATACTTGAACATTTTTTCATTTATTTGATCAGGTTTCAAAGTATTTGTAAAGAACTAATTGTACTCCGCCACGCTTCGCTGTAACACATTATGGTTGCATTGATGAAAAATAGATAAAACTAATGTTTGAAGCGTGTTGCATTTCGTGTCAAAATTTGAGCGCAATTGGTGCAGAACCTTTTGGGTTTTTGAAGCGCAACTTGACATTTTATATAAGTAGGTATGATATAGATTACAGGTGCATGTAGGCATGTATTAATTAGAATTAGTCTTTACACTTGAACCTTACCGTGTGAGTGAGGGTACCGGAGCCCAACTTCCTCCTTCTCCTCCTCCACACTTGTGACTCTTGAGTTACAGGTGTCTATGGGCGGCGGTAGTTACTTACCATCAGGTGCCCGTCTGCTCTTTTGCCCTCCTGTACCACCACCAGGTTGTCCAACCCTAACAACTGTCTTAACAGCAGTGGCGGATTAACCCTAAGGTAAAGTAGGCACGTGCCTAGGGGCGCGACTTGACCGTTTACACGCATGGCGAACCTCAACAAGTGTCCACAACCACAAGCGTGTAAACGAAGTGCGGCAAGCGTTTGCGACGTATTTACAGGTTGGTGCGTACTTGTTCCCTACTGCTCAATTTGATATTACAAATATTGTAGTTGAGCAGTCGGGAATCAACATTAAGTCTCAATGCTCTACTGATTGACCAGTTTAGTTTAGCAGTAGGGCGAGATATTTTTTTTTTGTTTTTTGGAACGAAGTTCCTTATCGCGCGTTGTGAAAGGGAAAAAATTCTTACGAAAATTGGTCACGACACTTTTTGCTATAGTAAGCTATTGTAAGCTGTGCGGCGTCGTATGTTTCTCTGTCTGTCTCTCTCTCTCTTATAGAAAGCAAGCCAGATATTTTCATTTCTATCTTTTTATGTCAGTCATTCAGCGCCATCTATCGAATAGATAGGAAATCATTTCTCAAGGAGATTTTACCAATGTATAAATTGTTTTAATTAGAAACCAACTGAAAAATATGTAGGTAATAGCCGCTTTCATAGATGGCGTTGTAATTAAAATGTGCCGAATCAGTTTTACTCGATCGTTACAACTTCGTTCCTATTGGGTGTCCCACGACACAACACGGCTTTTTTTAATAAAAATATGTCCACGTCTGCTATGTTTGCCTGTCCGGAACACACTAGCATACTCGTAAGCGTGTAAATGGCATCCAAGCATTTGTAAAGACTTGGAGCTTATGGACGTTTGCCAAGACTCCGCATGCATGTAAACTGGGCATAAGATTTTTAATTCGTAATTGGCACTACTTCTTTGTTTTCATTTTCTGATACTTAAGAAGATTGATGCGTGTAAGTACATAAAATGCAATTGCTACGACTGCAGCTGTAGTGATCGCCCAGGCCCAGAATAAGGCCTGCTTATTCTGGGGTTAAAGGGTGCTACCTTTAGCTTTAGAACCAACCAAACAAATTATTGTGGCCATGGTACGGAGTGATGGCGCGTGGAACTGCGCCACCTTCGTCTGCAAGCAAGTTATGTCCGAGAGGAAGAGGCCAGAGTGGGACCTGAAGAGACTTAAAACTCTTTAAGAGAGTTTTGAGAGTTTTTCATCATGCATAAGTGCATACCTGAAAGAAAGAAAGGCCCGGCCGTCTTAATAAAAACTGTTATCGGATCCCTCCTATTTCAGGATCAGTGTGTGGTTTTACCCGGTTTGATTTCAATACACCGCGTCACCGCAAACCCCGGTGGGGTGACAGCCTATGGAGTTTTCCACACGTAAAAAATAAAAGTTCTAGTAAACAAACGACAACTAAAATTTGGAGTAATCACTATCACATATTTAGTAACGTCAACTAGCCTAGCAGCTATTAATAATACAGTATGGAGGCTAGAGAGGGGGGGGGGGGGATGAGGTGCTTGCCTAGGGTGCCCGTGATGCTTAATCCGCCTCTGCTTAACAGTTGAAAAGCGACATGAGCACACATCATCATTAAATATCGAACGTTGATTGTAATGTGACTATACAAGAAATAAAATACAACGTGAATGCATCAATGTACTCGTATCTGTCTCATAAAAATTACAATTTTTACACTTATAATAAGAACATTAATTATGCATTATATAAACAATACAATGAAGATGTTCATTAGCTGTTCTGTGTCTTCTTCTTTTGCTCATTAGCAAAAGAACGATGTTACCACAACATTATTAACTTTAAAAGTAGCGTGTGGTATCCCCTGTACGTTTTTCGCAACCCCTGTCTACGTTTTCCTTTGTCTATGCTTCCACCCCCTGACGTCACGTCGAAAATCGACCAATCCCATTGCACGCAGTATTCGATGGCTCTCATAAGCGGCATCACTACCGCGCTTCACTTCGTACCTTATCTTTTAAATGTTTTCGTTGTCTAACAATATGTACCGTTCAAAAATGATCTTGGCTGTGATTAAAATTGTTTAAAATGATCAGTGTCATCACATCGTCGCTGTGAAATTTAGTTTTCTTTTTATTTTGTCTCAAGTGTATTAGTTTCTAAAATATTGCGAGGGGGTGGTGCCGTGATGCCAGTTCGTAAGCAAGGTGAATTGCAATATACCAATATCGACATTTGTTGTCTATAGTGCTTGTGTTTCGTTCATGTTGTCAATTTTTATTCAATTTGTATTGTATGGAAAGGGCTGACAGCGTTCACTACGGCACCCTTCTGTTATTCATATCGATGTAATAGGGTTGCCAAGCACCCACATTGAACTCTTTATATACTTTAATATGCTTCACCTATATCGTGTTTACTTTTGACCTATATTAAAACTAAAAATCGTTTTCTCTTTTCTGTTGATTACATTCTATTATTTCAGCTCATAAAATAACAGTAGGTACAACGTTGTAATACTTAAAATGTAGGTCGGTTATTCGTATGAATTTCTGATTCGAATTTGCATATCTATGTTTAAACATAGGTTCAATAAATCATTTTTTACATTTTAGGTTTTTACCAGTAAAACCTGTTTTAAAATTAATATTTTATCAGTCTAGCTACAAGCTATAATAGAAATAATGAAACCAAAAAGTAAACATGGCCTAGGTAATTACTCTTGATTTATTCGATATTCAAAGTCCGCATGTAGCTACCTAAAATATATCGTGTGACCTTTACTGATTAATTGTTTACATTGGTGTAACAGAAGCCCATCGAGCATTAGAACTGCTGGAAGACTACCACAGCAAATTGGTAAAGCCGCAGGACCGACAACTGCGCCTTGCCATCGAGAGAGTAATTAGAATATTTAAATCTCGTCTCTTTCAAGCACTCCTTGGTAAGTTTATTAAAACGATATAGCTTTTTATAATTATGCTGTTACTACTCTTTAGCGTAAGTTAATAGGAATTTCGTTAAAATAATCAGTAGTACCTAAGATATTACAAAATAAATCAGAGAACAAACCATCTCTGCAATATTCTACATAGTACCATACAACTACCTATAAATATTCCTAAATGCTTTTAGTACTTTAGTACTTACACAATACGTACCTAAAATTAACGCACAAGTCTTGTAATGCACTTTAATTCAAATATATTATTTATACAAGTTACGTGCAGAGCACATAGTTATGTAGTAGATACTTATGTAAATAAAGACTGGACTGATTCGGAACTCGAACTAGATTTTTGTAGGACTACTTAAAAAACAAAACATGTGTAGGTTATACCTACTAAGCTAAGCTAGCTAAGCTCTTCAGCGGATATTTGATCGAAAATAAATATAAAACCGTCATCATAATTTTATAAGAAACCGGCAGAGTAGGTAGGTATGTGACAGGCCACGCGTGGTGTCGAGTTCCGCGTTTCATTACTACTAGTTAACCTAACTAATTTTTTCTAAAGATTTTTTACTTTGTAAGAATAGTTTCAAGCAAGTAAAATAAATACATATCGGTCGTATTACTCTTAAACTAACTTACTTTTTTGGACTGCGGAACCCCATGTCCTAGATTCCTGTATCAGTGTCGTTAACAATCGCAATTGTTTGCCTTCAGTAGGTAAGGCAGATATTATTATCATTCCCATACAGACTGTCAAACGACTGGGTGCCTTTGCTTCGGCGGTTGTATAGACTTTACAAACCATCGAGATCATACAAAATTTTACCTATCCTATTAATAAATAAAACTGAAGAATCTGTTTGTTTGTTTAAATGCGCTAATATCAGGAACCATCAGATAGATTGAAATGATTGTTTTTATATTAGATAGAGTACTTAACGGAGCCTATAAAACATTTCACAACGACCTTTAGGTGCAGAGCAATGATCATAAACACAGATGAAACTGCGCAAGACATTTTATTTAATAAAGAACTCCTGCAATAAGAATGATTTCCGTGTATCCAAAAAGCACCCAAAATTAATATCACTGTAAGTGAATAAAAAACTGACATATATCGGATTCAGGTATACAACGCTTAGCGTAGCGTAATGGGAAAGCCATACAGCCTGTTTAAATTTATTTAAACAAGCAAATTAATTGATCATACATTCTTGATGTATCTAAACGGAAAACTGTTTTTTTTATTTTTCTTCGTATTTATTTATTTTATTTAGCAAAACAAAGTGGATTGCGAAGTTGTTCCTTGTTCATTACCCGCACACAGACCGATAACGGTAATAGGTTCCAATGTGATAAGACCCAGGATCGAAGGTAGCGCAATCAACATAAAAGTATTTTATCGACCAGATATAAGTAACACCATTCCTGTTAGTGTCGTCATGAATTCACATTAGAATTTAGCAAGCTTTTACCTTTTTTCAATGAAAATAAAATATAGTATTAATTAAAGATAAGATACGCACAATATTTAAATGTAAATGTGTCAAGGATTTCCTCTATCAAAAAAGCAAGCAGTTTAGTAGTTTATTTTTTCAGAAAGTGAAATATATATACCACAGGTAAATTGTATAAGAATATAAGCTGAATATCGATCACTGACTACCTGATTCTAATGCATAATGTATGCCTTACGACCACTTGGAGACTAGCCCAGAAAAAATTGTATACTTGAGGTAGTAGAAATATATTTGTGTAGGTAGACGATTATATAATATTTGAAAGTTAACTCATAATAATTTATTAAAAGTTTAAGCACGTTACCAAATTTCGGGTTTTCTTAACCATGGCAAAACCAATTTGTTTTTAATTTGGTACTTTTCTGCGTAGCTTTTGCCGATGGCTTCGCTCGCGAAAATGATATTTTTTCTCTCGGTTGTTACCGACGACACTGGGTAACTTTCATACAGATTTTTTTTCCAGATTAAAATTACCCTATGTCGTTTGCTGCAGCCCTGGTAACGTATTTGCAAAATTTCATGATAATCGGTTAAAATTCTGGCAATGCATTAAATACGATCAAACAATTTTATTTGATTTTGTGCAAAAGTAAAACATTTTAATCTTCAACTTTGGTTAAACATTTCTAATTTTGGTTTTCCGTGAATTTGTCACATTTTTCTGGTGTAAGTGCAATGAATGTCTATAGAGGTGTTTAAAAATAGAACGAGAAAATTGGTTCTTTTCGCAGTGTTAGTTATTTTGCTTTGAACTTCACTTCGACTTTGAAGTTCATTGGTTGAAGGTACCGGCTCAGTCAGCTCAACAAGCTATAAATATACGGAACACGCGCGTGACTGCATAGTGACGCGCACTAGCGCTCTTGATTCTTCCTTGACCACGACACGGCTATTGTGATCCACATTATATTTAGCCAGTAGTAATGAACATTACACTACTGGCATATTGTAATTACTGATATGGGCGGCATTTCTCTGCAGAACTGCACTTTTAGAAAGATGATTTAACTGAGTACCTACTTAATTATATGTCCTGGATGTAACAAATCCTTTCTAAGTAGCATATAGATAGGCCACTAAATACATCATAATAATCAGATGTATTTGAACATACATATTTATTTTTTTAACGGCACAATAATCAGTAGTTTTGATTATAATATATCAGATACTCACATTCATATGTTAAAACTTTTTATACGTATCCACGTTTATTCTTATTAAAATATTTAGTACATAATATGCACCGAGCTAGCGTACTATCATGCAACCAAAACAAACTACATATAAGTTAACGTTTAATGCAAATCATTTCAGTACACAGAAAAGATCACAGTAGGTACGTAGAAAAATACAATTGTTTGGCCACTTATCCCAATAACTTACTAACTACTAAATTATTTATACCAGACTTAGCCTTTAGTATAAGTAACGTCACCATGTTAGCGTGGCTTATGGATAGATTAACAAATAATAAAATTAGACCACCACTCTGTACATTCTCTTGACATTAGCTTAAGACCATTAAAGTATTTTAGTGTCGCCCTTGTTTGATTATTTACACCTTTACACAGTGTAGGAATAAAATTATACATACGATAGAAATAAGTTGTTGTCGATCTAAATGTATTTTAGCCACGTTGAAACAACCTTGCCCTGGAGTCGATGTGTGCTCGATTGCAGCTGTCCGCGTGCGTCACGTAGGTACTCCTAATAAACACACATGGGCTTCATCGCCTCACAAGCGACCGTAGTTGTAGTACGGTCTACTTAGTAGTAGTAAATCTTGTTTTACTATACATTAAGTAATACTCAAAGTGGTTTATATCGATCGAGAAAAAGGCAATAGTTGGGAGTCCGTGATGTGAAAAAATAAATTAGAGGTCCTCCACCTGACCCTTCTGGCGTCCTAGCCTCAAAGCTTACCTGCTTAGCACTTTAGCGCTAATACATTGCAACGTCGAGTCTGGACGGACTTTGAATTTCAACCAATTAAATAATTATGTATTTCTTAAATAATTCCAAGAGTAATTGTTATAAAACGTGTGGTTTGGTCTAATATACAAAGAGAATCACCTAAATAAATTAGGTTTATACCAACAGTAAAGTTTATTGATTGACGTAATTTCCATCAATGTTCCACGCTATTTCGTATGAGCAGTCGTTGCTTCAAATATACATTTTCTTTTCTTATTTAGATACACTTTTGATTAGTTCAATACGATATTACTCGTAGTACAAAGAATGGAATAATATTCTAAATGTTACGTGTTTGTATCATATCATATGTTTCGTTTGCGCATGTAAGTAGATAGTCTGCATTTTATAAACTGAGTATATAACAATATTATTAATATATTTTGTTGTTTATTAAGTATAAATAAGATAATTAACTGGACCAGTTATTGTTGACGCCATTTTAAATGTTGCGAAACTGACCTTACGATAAAATTAATCCTTATGTCTTTGTTATGAACTTTATCTGTACGAGTATACATATATAAAACAAAACATTTAAGAATAATTTCGTAACTGTTTTTTTAGCTACTTATCTCTATTTTCATTGTTTAGTAGTTAATGGTTTTGGATTGGTACTGATGCAAAAAAAATATTTTCACTAGAACTAGTCTAGTTACTACATAAGCTACATATAATATGTAGTGGTAGTATTTATAAATCTTAAAATTTCTTTTAAGAAATGTGTACGTTTTATTTTAGGGAATACTCTAAAAACTGCACATTTATTTAACTTCATGGTGACAGTAGACCTAATACTGACTACTAAAATAAGTACCGCCATATCTATTTTGCTTTATACCTCTTAATTGATAATAAACGAAAATATTCAGTCTGTATTGTAGTGCGGTAGGCGGACGCGTTCGTAAACTCGACAATATGTGCGATGGACTGTTTGACCTGAATCTCGAGATACGGGTCACCGGCTACACTGGAGCCTTTCGCTGACAGAATTCAGTCTTCGACATGTTTAAATTAAAATATTAAACTGTATAGATTAAACAACTTAACAAGTAAAATAGTACGATCAGCGACCTTCGCTTAAATCGAAGGTTCTGATCGAGCTGTACAAACCTAAGCTTAAGAATAAAACATTAACTTTTAAAAAGTATCACCCATTTCCATTCGCCTACAACATGATGAATTCTAATAAACTGTATTCTCCATTCCTTCATTTTCACCATTAGGTTAGGTAGGGTTGATGTTCCTCGACACCTTTTGAATATCTGCCTTTTTTAACGAAATATCAGCAACAATAAATTAGCATAATGCAATGCAAGGTTTGGTAATGTATGTAAAACGCAAAGGCCAAAGGATGGATTTTCTATAGTTTGTAATGTATCTGTCTACTTTACGAGGAAATATTTACTAAGGTGTAGGTACAAATCCACACTGGTCAGCAAATAAACCGAGCCACCCGCTACCTAGGAACTCTGATTCGATTTTCTCAAAAAGTATAAAACTTACAACTATCAAAGTTATACCTACAAAAAGTGCGTTTCATGGTGATTAAAATGACTAAAAATTAATTCGAAAGTACCGTCAACTCACATTGTAATCAAGCAACAAACACAATGCTAACGATTTGCTCTGTTTTCACCAGAGTTTGAAATTAGCGTTCTTTTTCTCTACAATGAGGGTAGTCAGATATTTCTTATCATTTCTTTAGTTTTTGTCCATCGTTTGCTCAGACGCGTGTGTTTTTGCTACTTTTTTCGATTAATAATGGATACAATACCTCAGGAAGCAGCTCAAGCTGTAACATTACTTCAAGCAGGCATTGCGCAACGTGAAGTCGCTCTAAGGCTTCGAATCAGCAGATCTTCGGTGCAACGAGTTTACAGACGATACCTAGAGACTGGAGCATTCGATTGCCGTCCAGGTACGGGCAGACCTAGGGCTCCATCAGCAGCAGATGATCGTTATATCCACCTTACTGTTCTGCGAAATCGCCACCTCAACGCAGTTCAAGTCCAACAAAGTCTGCGTGACGAACGCCAAGTGGTCATAAGTTCAGATACCGTCAGAAGGAGACTTGCTGAACGGAACCTGACCCCAAAAAGAGCTGCAACAGGTCCAGCATTAACGGTAGCACACCGTCGAGCACGACTTGAATTTGCTCGAGAGCATAGGGATTGGACATTAGAGCAGTGGAGTAATGTACTCTTCACTGATGAGACCAGGGTGAGTCTACATGGAAGTGATCGACGTCAGAGAGTATATCGTCGCCCTGGAGAACGTTATTCTCAGTGTTGAATCGAGGAAACTGTTGCTTATAGAGGAGGATCTGTAATGATCTGGGGCGGCATCTCGTTAACAGCACATACAGCGTTAGTTTTCATCGAACCGACGGGCCGTACACGTGGACTGACTTCTCATCGCTACATTACTGAAATCCTCGCAGACCATGTGGTACCTTACGCAGGATATATCGGACAGGATATGCAATTGATGCATGATAATGCACGGCCTCATGTTGCTCATGTGGTGACCCAGTATCTACGCGACGGCAGCATTCGTAAGATGGACTGGCCAGCTCGAAGCCCGGACTTGAATCCGATGGAACACTTATGGGATGAGCTGAAACGTCGGGTTCGAGCCCGGGTACCTGCTCCAACAAGGCTTCCAGAGCTGCGAATCGCAATTGAAGAGGAGTGGAATACAATTCCTCAAGATTTTATCGTCAGGCTCGTAAGGTCGATGAATACAAGGATGCTGGCAGTAATCCGAGCAATTGGAGGGAATACGGAATATTGATCAAAAACTTTTTTTTGATTTTATCTTTGTTTTTGGCTTTAATTTTTTTTTCACTTTATCATTACTAACGATTGTCACGACTGGAAAACGACTCTTCTTTGTAAAATCCTTAATAAACACTGAAATATTGATTAAACCCAATGAGTTTCCTTTCATTTTAATAACCATGAAACGCACTTTCTGTAGGTACAACTTTGTTAATTGTAGGTTTTTTAGTTTTTGAGAAAATCGAATTAGAGTGCCTAGGTAGCGGGTGGCTCGGTTTATTTGCTGTCCATTGTATTTATTTTAAACCGTCGTTTGTGTTGAAACTAATATTAGTTCTGCTAGGTGAGTATGTGTTAGGTAATCAATCATTATAATATAGTTGTATTTTTAACTGGTACTTTATTTTATGTACATAATTACAGTTTGTAGGCATCTAAATTAATCTCTGTTATGCATTTCAGTTCCATTAAATCTAAGTTTTGCGTCATCATGTGTGACCAATGGCATACCTACGTTATAACCATAGAGATATCTCTTATCAATCGTGTAATATTTCTTTGCAGGTCGTAATGAATGTATAAAATAGAGATTGGGTAACCTATTTAAAAGCGATAAACGATTGAGTAAATAACAATTTTAAATGATTTTGATAAACGGATAAACCAAAAAATACGTTATAAGTATAGGTCCTATTGGTAACTATTGCTTACCTAATAAATGATTATTATTGTTAGTATACATTACAATTTCTTCATCATTATAAGTATCATCATTTTCTTGCCATTTCCCCAAATTTATATGTAATCGGAGTAAGAAACTGGTAAAAACAAAAAGAAATGAAGATACTTAATAAAAAAAGGTATATTTTTTCTTGCTTTACTTTTTGCATTTTCCACTATCACCTGAAAGATCACTGCTTACTCCCTTTCTAACCATATCCTCTTTCACGCAGTCCTTAATTTCATCGCAAAATTATTTTGCCTATTTTCTTTTATAGTCGGCCGCCTGCCCGACGTAACCCTTCTAGGGAATGTGATCTTTATTTGTACGTAGTAGGAACCGCTGAAATGCTGTTAACTACGTGCTCAGGTCAAGTTGTAAAGTACCTACTACTCTAATAAAAATGGTTGCTATTCTCCACTTTTGGAATAACTATGTAAACATAAGAGGTTTTCAACTAATGCATGGCTCACACTCTGTAAAATATTGATTATTCTAGAGAATTGAACTACGAAGATTATAACATCAACTAATTGATTTTCGCTCACAACTCCTCTAACTTTAGTCTCGGTACTTCTACTCGTATATACGAGTAGTAAGATTTAAAAATTAATTCTTATAAGGATTAATTTTTAAATCTTAGGCAGGATACAAATCTATTTAATCTGTTTTGTAGTTCGTAGTGTTCGTAAACTTACTGACATACCTAGTATACATTTGCCATGCCACTTACTGTTGGCCCTGTTTAAAATATCGGCCTATATTTTTGTCACGCGAGTCTATTTAGTTAAACGAAGTTTTTAGAATACCTACTCACGCACTAATTGGAAAGGTTAAGCTATTGGTCTTCATATTAACTAAGTAGTTTATTACTTATATTTATATACATTTTATAAAAAAATCTGCTTCCTTGGGTTCAGACTAGACTTGCAACGAATAGTATATTCGGCAGTATACCGAATACCGAATATTCGGCGAGGCCCCTGACCGAATAGCCGAATATTAGGCAAAAGTATTCGGCTGGATTTTAGCGCCAAAAACTTGTACAGACGTGAATTAAATTATGTACCTGTTTTATGTACCAATGACTACTTAATAAATGATTATTAAAGAAATGAGAACCTTACCCTTCTAAATTTTGATTACCACAATAATTCAAATACATAGAATCCTCCATTTTTCCAATTCAGAAGATGATTTATGTACCTGTGTTATGCACCAATGACTACTTAAATGATTATAACAGAAATGAAAATATTAATATATACGTAATCAATCGATTTTAATTTTTTATTTTACCAATTATTTCTCAATGACAAAATATATTATTTAAGTATTCGGTATTCGGCCGAATAATATGTAGATATTCGGTATTCGGCCGAATATAATAAAAGCAGCCGAATAGGCCGAATACCGAATAGTAACCGAATATTCGTTGCAAGTCTAGTTCAGACCCATTTTTTTCTGCTTCTTCAATATTTTATTTCGTCAGTTCATTAGTCAATTATAATACCAATGTTTTTGGAAGTAAAATTCACTTTAAATATCTAACAAAAACAGAGTTTGAATCGAATCCAATTTTTACCTTTGTCGCCAGTCTAGCATATCCTTAGCAAAGTGATAAGCAAGCGTTTGCTTACCTAACTACTTTAGACGCAAGTTCGTTTTTTTATTGATTGCAATCGATTTACTTAGTTTTTACTTTAAGAGTTGTTTCGTGACGCACAACCAGCGCTGGTTTATTTTTAGTAAGTACCTACCTATTATACCCCAAAGTAAGCCATCCAAGCTTTTTGTGCCCATAAGCCTGGCTAAAATGGGTAAAATTAATTGATTTATATTGAATACCTACGTCATAGTTTGTCGGTAAATTGTATTTCATCCTCCTTTTTGTTTACTCTCTTACAATTTTCATGGAATATCAGTTTGTAAGTACCGAAGAATCAGATTGTTGAATAAAGTCTACCCCAGCCTTGCCTAAGTTTCATTCCGTGACATGCACAAAGTTCACCTAGGTACTCTTTACATATAACAAAGAGGGTTCGCCGCCCGCACGTTCGATATCGATCTCAACACGACACAATACGCTATATTTTCCATAACCTACCTATTGCTCGGCGGATTGTATCAGCTATTTATTTTTATATAACCCTTTCCTTTCAGACCCTTGGTAAGTCCTATGGAAATAACTTGACAGGGTATCTTTTACAATAGGTTGACAAGTTAGACAGAATCGTTTGTCTTGATTTATTGCATTAGGCATTACTTACTTCACCCCAGGTAAGAACGGATCCAATTTTGGTCTACCTGGGTCAATACTTAAATCTAGGACGGGATCCAATTGTGACTAAATGATAACTTAAACGGTTGTCTGTTGATCAATTAATTAATTAATTTAAAAAAAAATATTTGAGTACAACTACCAGTGACATGAGTTATTCGTTATTCTTGTCAACTTCTGCAAGTTAGATACTTGTTAAGGTCGTGAGCGTGTTCCCACAGAGGACTTGAATATCAACCTAGTATGTGGACAATTCTTTGTTTGCGTCTGAGTGTGGTCCAACACTTAGCGGCAGTTAAGAGATTCTGCGAAAGAGTTTTTTATTGTTATTTTAATTAGTTTACGACGGTCAATATTAACAGCTTTGGCGCCTATAACATATGCTGAAGCAGGGCTCTTCCGCCATGCTGCAGCACATATTATTGGCCTACTCGACAGGAGTGATACCACGGATTCACAAAAAACTGGTGTTAAGTAGTTATTTCGTTGCTTTTCACAGAGTGAGTGAGGTTATCGAAACCCAAACCCCTCCTTGGTTTAATGTCTGTAATCTGAGGCCGTCACTAGTCTTTCAAATAATATCATTAAGTACTTAGGTATGTCCATATTACTTCACAGATATTCAAGAATTTTACGAGCTCACTCTTCTCGATGACACTAAGTCGGTTCAGCAGAAGACTGCGGAAACAATACGAATCGCTAATAAATGGGAGGCAGATAACTCTCGCCGAGAAGTAAGTGAATAATTACATTAAATACTTTTATTTTACAAATGAGAATTGTATAATATAGAAACATCACTGCATATTACATAAAATTGAACACTTAGTCTTGTTTTTACCAAAGACATCAAGAATAGCAACTAGGTTGTTTACAGTTTACTTTGAACTGCCTCTGTCGGCTGGTTTTTGTTGACAGTTTCATCATTATGCAAGTTGTTCAGTTTGTTTCCATTCGCTTATTCTCAGCAATAAACAAATGTAGGTATGGTATTTATTTCAATTAATCTTTTTATTTTCATTGTTAGTTATGTAGGTTTGTAGATCTTAAATGATTGCTCCTTAAAACTGTAATGCCTCATTTATTATAAGTAGTTATTATAGTTAATTTAGAACTATTAATTATAGATAGTCCTTAAATATTGTGTTTACCAAAGCAACAAGATAAAAATTGAAGCAACAAGATGAAATTGAGATAGATAGTATTTAATAGATTCAAATTTTAAGGACTTCAATGAAAACCTTTCTGCAATTTCTCTGTTAATGATAACTTTTTATTTCAAAAATTTCATTTTGTTTGTGTAAATTTGCTAGTTCTTATGCCTGCGTCTGTAATATATTTTTTGTAAAGTTATATTTGTTTGGTCTTTTATAAATACTGGATAAGTTAAACGTTTTCTTTTCTTCTTTATTTTCTGTTGCTCTTCTGTCTTATGGAAAATACTAGTTTGCCGTCTTTGACTTTGTAACTAATTTACTAATTAAATAAAATTCTAAGCACTACGCTTTTTGCCATTACGCAACAATTTTTTGGATTATCTATTTCGAGGGTGTCGTATTTTTATTGAATTTTTGTTGTAGATATCTACAGAAGAAAGTGACTATAGAAGCGTTTCCAATGCCTTTCTCCAGGATACCAACAAAAAATCGGATTCACGAAATGCCACACCGGACTCGACGAAGGTTTGTAAGCTCTAAAGAAACTCTTAACACTGTAGTTGTAAGACAGACTGCTATTTTACAAATTAAGTTTTTAAAGTTTTGTGCAAATTAGACTGATTAATTGACTACCTACCTTTATAATTATTTGTGATTCTATATATAGAGTAGTTAGTTTAGCTTAAATCTTCGACTATCATGTGATTGTTTGGAAGTTTAAGAATACTGTTACCTTTCTTTATTTTTAGGTACATTCTGTCGTGCCTCAGAGTGGCGAAACAGAAGTGAAAAAGGTAAGTGAACCGGTGTAGTGCAAAGGTATTCTTCTTCAAATATGGTAAATATTTATTTCTATTCATGTTTCTATTCGTATTAAAGCAGCAATGGTGAAAACTTTAATTGCATTCATTGAAATGCTTTCCGATAGATTTACATATTATTCCTAAATATTTAATGGCCATTTGAATAACGCCATCTGTTATTGATTTTTGACAGTCGTAAGACTTTTAGTTACGGATCGAGTGGTGGATCGATGCGCTGTTTTTTTTTTATTTTGATGACGTGACGTTTACGAAAGTAGCTGAACAGAGCGCTAGGTACAACAAGTGGACGGTAATGGCGGATGGTTGGTGTTTCGCGTCTCGTAGTACTATTTATAACCTAAATTATAGTACAAGTTTTCGGCGATATGTGCGCTAACGTTTCTTCGTTCTGTGGATTGGTGCCGTTTAATTTCACAATTGTGCCAATGACGTACGAACACTACATCGACTGAAAGTATATTACTCTTTTTAAATGATAATCAGTGAAATGATATTGCACACAAAATTTTGACATTCACACTGCCGAGATTTCGTATTCGTTTCAAGTAAGGCCATTTGATAAACACTAATCTATTTTTAAACATTTAGTAATTTCTTTATACTTTGGGAACGTTTTCAATTTTTGGTGAGACTAATGCGACTTCGGAGCTAGTTTTGCTTGTAACAAATCTCTGTTACTGGCTGATGATTATTAAGTACAATAAAAGTACTATGATACTACTACTATTGTCAAGTGCCCATAAATTGCACACTAATAACGTAACACGGACATTCTAATTAAGGTTCATCGCTTTTGACATTCATACCATCCTATCATCGAACACAAGTTGGTAACACGCCTAATAATTACTTAGCCATACATACCTACCTACTAAAATCGCTATCAAAAAGGGCTCGGCAATTTCGTTCATTCATTAGATAAGGACTGCTGCAATTTTAAACTAAGCTAACATGATAAAGAGCTTTGAGTGTTATGGGAGAACCTGCAAACGTGAAAAGTGGATGCATACCTAGATAAAAGGTCACATATTTCTGATGTATTGGTGCAAGTTAGTTGTGGGTTCTAGGTAGAGAATGGTGCATGCTGGACATCGTCAAGTAAGCTGAAAGTGGACACAAGTGTGTAACTAACAATGCATGCAGTGTACATAGTGTAGTACGGACATCAAAATATATTCCCTGACGGTTATGCACACTTGTTCACAAAAATGACTGAGAGACGGAAGAAAAAAACACATAATGGATTCCTTCGGAAAGTCTCCTCCTTGTTTAATCTTGATACGGTAAGTCTGTTACATGATGACTACACAAACCAGTAAGAAACAATTAATGAATACATTAAGATTTTCACCATTGTTACTTGAAAGTTATCACTAATTTTATATATTGTACTTACTTAATAATATAAAATATATTTATATATTTGTGAGCAATACTATGTTTTTGAAAAGATATGTAATAAATTATTGCAAATGATAAGTATTTTCATACATAAATATTACAAACTAACATCTTGTATAGGAAGTAAATATTAATGAATTGAAATACTTTTTCAAAATTATTATATATTGTCATTAATAACTAGTACCTCATTTCTCTGGTTTTTATTTGTACCAAATAATAACAACACTAATTTTCTGTTGTTTTAAGTTCAATTATAACATGTGATCTAACAACCAATATGCATATTTGATGTACAAAATTCATGGTTTAATTATTTGTAGATACAGACTTGGACTTCAGCCTCTGCATAAGTTATATACTATATTTTTTTTACCATTTTAGTCCTTATTTATTAACTCCTTATCACTTTCAGGCTCACGTCACATCACCAGAAATGAAGCAGGTAAAAAAAACATTAATTTAAAATGATCCATGTACCAGTAGCATCTGCTAACTGTACCTATACCTAGTTTTGAGTATGATATGTTAAGTATTCTTATAATATTATATTGTAGAAGATACATTACAGTACTATGCTTTATTAAGGGTGTATGCCTATTTTACTTTATTTTGTCTCCCGCTTTGCTAAGGAGGGAAGTGGATTTACTGTATTTCCAACTCCTCCGATTTTCTTCTGATTATTTTTTTTGCGGGTTCCAAGACAGTTTAATTTCTTCCTGGGACTTCCCGAGTGTCATAACTCGGTGTGTTCGTGGGTCACTGCTGTGGATCCTGGTGTACAGGAGTTACATTGGTGGGGGTGTGGGTGGGATTAGTCCCAAAGTACTATGCCTTATTTAAAAGGAACATATTTAGTCCGAGTTGTATCTAGTACACTGTTGATTTAACTTGGTTGAAATATAAAAAGGACCTTGTATATTATCAAATGAGATCTTATCTTAAGACAAATAAACATAATTACATTATAGTTACAGTACTCAATGGATGCATAGTATGGTTCTCATATATAGTATAGTGTAATAGCAGGGAAACTCTTTAGGCTAGTAGACTAATTGCTTTTCTGATGACAACTTGTCTTGTGAAACTATTTTTCTTTTAACATCTCTACATGACGGCTATCTAATGGTATATCAATGTAAAAAAATACTATTTTCAGCCCATATAATGATTAGTTGTAAGTATTTACTTAATATATTATGTCTTATAGCCCATTTGAAGAAGTCATATAATATTCTATACTGTAATATTTCAGCCTTTACAGGTAAATGGTATAGAAGGCGGAATTGAGCGCACACAAGGAGAAGATGGATTTATTTACATGTCTGTGGTGCTATCGCGTGCGGGCGGTGCTGGCCTTGGGTTTAGCATTGCAGGTGGCTCCGACAACCCTCATGTTGCGGATGATCCCCATATTTACGTAACTAAACTAATACCTGGAGGAGCAGCGGCCGCCAGCCAGCTGCAGATTAATGACGCAATATTACAGGTTACATTCAAGAATTTACATGAACATTATAAGGAAACTATCTGTTAAAGTCCTCATAGAAAAATATAATGCTTTTTATAATATGTACATACAAATACTATATTGTTGTTGGCCTCCATCTTATTTCTAGATGATGAATATTAGATATTATATGATTAAGACAATTGACTGACCCAATTATGGCCTATTTTCTAGAAGCGCTCTGTCAGATAGTTTGGCCAAAAGTGAACTCTATGATCTGAAAGTGGATTCTTCCTATAACATTTTTATAATAATGTTTGTGTGGTGACAAATTAAGAATGCAGTGATATCACCCCTATTTATCGCTTGGATGTTGTAAGAGCCGACTTGGATGTTGTAACAGTACTGCAAAAAGAAGGAAAACTTGAAACAAATCCTATACCAAACCGTCTGGCCATCTTGGTAAGGCCAAAACCTTGCTTCTAAGGAGAGTTAAAGTCCTCATAGAAAGCATATAGTAGACTATTAAAAGCTGTTGATGATGATGACGATTTTTATAATGATAATACTACAGGTTAATGGGTATTCAATATTTTTTTTTTTGCATTTACAGGTAAATGATGTAAATGTTGAAAATGTAACACATGCTGAATCAGTTGATGCTTTAAAAAAGGCTGGCAATACTGTGAGACTGGTAAGTGTTTACTTATGTATGATTTAAAACCTTAACACTAAGTAAATATATGATTCATATACATAATACTAAGGAAATTAATAGTGTATGAGTATGACAAGCTATGACACATTCCATTGCCAAATTATTTGTATCAGGTTATAGTCGTCCACTAGTAACTGCCAATTTCGAATCATAATCGAACTATTCAAGGCGCCCTATTCAGTTGATGACCTTCTTACAAGGACTTGTTTAGAATATACATTGTGTCCCGCGAAAGACGTGAATTCGTGAATCATATCTAAAGAGCCTATATTTTAAATAAAAGTTTTTTATTACAGAAAATACGACGCCGCGCTGCAGATGATAATAATACGTTAAATGTTTCACAAGTGTCTAAACCAGAAGAGTCTATTGAGATTGAGTTGGTAAAAGGTGGGGCTGGTCTTGGATTCAGCATAGCGGGAGGCCTTGGCAATCAACATATCCCTGGTGATAATGGTATATATGTGACTAAGATAATGGCTGGTGGTGCTGCTCACAGAGATGGACGTTTAAGGGTTGGAGATAAGCTACTTATGGTTAAAAATACTTCAGTATGAACTTTTGTAATTCAATTAATCAGTGCAATGATATATGCTGCTGCTATTGTTTTAAATTTTATTTTTATTTATTTACAGCAAGGAGATATTAATCTAGATAATGTGACTCACGAGGATGCAGTAGCCGCTTTGAAGGCGACAGGGGAGCGAGTATTACTCGTCTTAGTTCCAGGTCCAAGACACGGCCAACCTTCGCCGCGTACGTCACGAGCAAACACACGTAAGTTATATATTTATACTATGGACACAGTTTCGCTTTCCATCCCGTTACAGTATTGTTTTCTGGGGAAAAGTTGTATTTTGTCCTTTTCTGTATCCTTAGTAATTTAATTTTTACATTGTTTTGATTTCAAACACTGGTCAATATCAGTATTTTATTTCATTAAACTAGATTATATTACTTGCATACGATATTCAACTCTATGGTTTAAATGTTATTCCTATTTTAAACGTAGCGGCACATTTTGTCGCTTAAACTGTGTTGACTTTATAAAATTCGAATTTGCGGTAATAACAGATCTTGTAATATAAACAAAGAAACATTGATTTTTTTAAACTAGAGAAAAACAGTAGACCCCCTAACGACCTTCATAACTTTGCCCTAAAATGTAAATTCAATAGTGCCTCTGACCAATGTCATACGTTATTAGTAGATCAAACAAATTAGAGCTGTGTTACCTCGTAAGTGTGTTAACATGTGAGTTATTCTGGTTATAACTGATTATTGGATAGATAGATTTAGTTCTTAAAATATGGTTATGTGATGTGAATCTGTAATATTAAGGGGATGCTGTGAGATGTGAAAAAAAATGAACTTTAAGATTTTTTCAAATCGTTTACTTGTGTGGATATTCTCTGTATTTTTTGATAAACTTTAATCCTCTTTTTTTATTCATTATGGACAAACTTACATTATTTGAATTTTTAAATAGGTTTCTCTTGCAGTAGAGACGTCTTGTAGTAGGTTGCAGATAGAGACTATTATTTCTGTAGCCCAAAGTCATTTAAATATCTTAAAACCTATCCATACTATCCAAGCCCTTACAGTTACATTTTCTGAGAGAAGTACTACCTGTATGGAAATATTGCTGTCTATATGTAATATTAGTATATTATATCTCATTATTTTACGAATTTATAAGAAACTGCACGGATGGTGTAGTGGTTTAAGCGGTCGCCACGCCGCTTCCTACTACGCCGAGTGTTATGGGTTCAAACCCCACATGGGACGACACTTTGTGTGATCCACTAATTGTTGTTCCGAGTCTGGGTGTTCTTTGTGTCCGTTTCATGTATGTTTGTAAAGTCCCCGCGACACAGGATATTTTCCTAATGCGGAATGTCTTTTAGGCAATGTGAGTGAACATATCTACCTAATAGAATACTGTTGGACAATATTCATAAAACATTTAACGTTATTCTCAATTTCAAACGTATTTCTAATTTTACGTTCATATGTAGGTGCCTTTATAAAACAATTTAGGTTTAACGTATATACTGAATTACCACTTATGTTTATGTACAATTACAACAAAATGATCGCATCTTACATGCAATTACAGTCAGTGTAGTTACAATCTAATTGACTCAGTTGCTTTTATAATTAATACTAAAACTCTTGTTGACAGCTTCAAGCACGGCTAATTCTCTTCGCCGCGAAGACGTCACGGATAGTAACGAAGAAACCCGCGTCGTTGAGCTCGAGAAGGGCTCTCAAGGCTTAGGTTTCAACATCGTCGGCGGCGAAGACGGGCATGGTATTTACGTATCATTCCTATTGGCCGGCGGGCCAGCCGAGCGATCTGGACAGCTAAGACGTGGAGACCGATTGCTTGCAGTCAACGACGTGGATATCACCCATGCGACACACGAACAGGCTGCAAAAGCTTTAAAGGTATTTTTCAATAAACTTTCCATACTACTTATCTTTTCTCTTGAAACTATACTACTAAATAATATTTTTCTCATGAAACATACCATCCGTTGTTCACACACAGCGGAGACTATTTTATAATATGTAGTGATTTTTGGGTTATAAGAATCCTACCGATAAGGATGAAATGTATTATTTTTTCACATTAACTTTAAACGTAATTTCGACATCTATATCGTACCATCAAAGTTCGAATCTTTGAAGAATTCTACAATTATCACGATTTCATTAGGAATCAAAAATGACTGAGTATTTGCCATTGACACATTTCCACCTCACAACCTTGAACACGACTTAGGTAAGGTTCACTAGCAGATGATACCATACTGCTTTAAGTTCACCTTGTACAATGTATTACGCGGAAAGAGTTAAAACTAAATGATCTCATTTAAATTCAAGAGAAATAAAAATCTATTGCGAAAAAAAAATAGAGAAAAATAATATCTGTCGTCTATGTTTCACCACAAAATATGACAATTATCATAGCTGTGAAACTCAAATTTTAGTAAAAATTGTGTTCAAGACTAATGTCTTATAATATCAATATACCGGTAACATTGAGATCAGCCAGACTAGAGACCAGCTAATATTTTGTCATAGTGTAATTTCAAAAAAATGTGTGTAAAATATTCAAGATAACACTAAAGATGTTAAGAGAATCTGATAAGATGCAATCCAGTTGATATATGTAAAAGATTAAGTAATATTACTTAATCTTATGTGAGTACATGTGTTATTGTTACCAAGTGCCTACTTCTTGGTTGGTTTTATCTGCATTTACATATATAAAATATTTAATACCGGCTTTGGCTGGAGAGTACTTGATAGTAAGTACCCATATTCAAATTAATTTATTTGTGTGAGTATTTATTTGGTTTTTTACAATCTAATTTACTTAAAATCATTATGGAATATAAGATCCTTATCTCAAATACTATTTTCTGAGCCTGTATTCTTATAAACTTATTTTTATTTTTCAGAGCACCGGTCAACAGGTAAAGCTAACGGTGGTTTACAGGCCTCAGGAGTACAACAAATTTGAAGCGCGTATAAACGAATTAAAACAACATCATACACTTTTGAGAACATCACAGAAACGATCTTTATATGTCAGGTAAGTTAATAAAGTTTTAAATTTTGCTAAACAAAAATAACAATATTCATTATTTTTGTTTAGCAAAATATAAAACTAAACTTTTCGTTTTTCACTGTTTTACGTATGGTAAATTGCAGTATTTTAGGTTATTAATTATTATGTTCTGTTGGGAAAATGTACTTGTCCACTGAACTAGATTATATTAATTGCATACGATTTTCAACTTTATGGGTCTATATGTTATTCTCATTTTAAAAGTAGCAGAACATTTTGTCGCTTAATCTGTGTTGTGTTGAGACATTTATTATAAATGTTATGCCTAAATAAACTCCATAGCAAGGTGACCTTAACGTAATCCAACAAAGCTTTAGACAAAACCTAAACAATGCATGCCCTCGTACCGGATAATTCTATTGTCGTCACCATTGACATACGCTATGAACAATAGAAAAGGTTTGACTGTATATAGGCATAAATATATCCTGAATATCGTAATAATGTTTATACCTGCAGTCACGAAAGTAACTCTAGTTGTTTTTTTTCTACAAATATATGATTGTAATCAAAATATAAAATACACCTGTATTCGGTTTTAAATATAATTTTGTTTATCACATTCCTTCAATATTTTCTTTTGAATTTTAAAAAAAAAATCTGCATGATGTTTTCCATGCCAGTAGTTCATTACAATATTGGTATACGATAAGTTGCATATCAAATTATATTCAATTAGATTGGTTATTAATTTCCACTGTTTCAACTAAACGTTCGTAATGTTACTAGCGATCGACCATATTCCCGTTTCTATAAATAGAAAGAAATCCTTGAGTCTCAATAAAATTTCATTGTCTTAAATCATATATTGTTTAACGTGAGCTAATATGAATTGTGCTTTTTTTTCAGAGCATTATTCGATTACGATCCCGTGAGGGACGATGGTCTGCCGTCGAGAGGACTGCCATTCAGATACGGTGACATTCTACACGTCACTAACGCTTCTGACGATGAATGGTGGCAAGCTAGGTAATTTTTATATTTATTTTATATTAAACATAAAGAAAAACTTCCAAAAGTAGTAATGATGAAATTTGAGATACTACTTTTTTCCAAAATGCCCAAAAAAATTTTAACAATAAAGTAAAAAGTTATATAGTTTTTCACTCTGGTAATGTTTGTAGTTCTTTATATAAGTTCAGGCTAGTTATCCTTTATGTATCAAAGACTTGTTAAAAGTAAATATTGATCACGGTATAGTTTTAGTATAGATTTCTTTGTTTTACAGACGGCTGGACAAAACGGAATCAGATGCTATCGGCATCATTCCGTCGAAACGACGGTGGGAACGAAAGCAGCGAGCTCGCGACCGGCAGGTCAAATTTCAGGGACAAGGCACGCCCGTTAGTACTGTTAGTATTTTCTTTTTTCTTTTTCTCTTTATTGACTCACATTTAGGCATGATAGCAGTAATATCATTACCAAAGTTTCCTTGTCGTGTCATAAGTTATTTTGGATGAGATGATGATTATTTCGACATTTACTTTATATAATATAACTTTCCAACGCAAAAAGTATCTAGTAGACGAAAATTATTTGACTTGTCACACCTCTGTCAGACCTTATTAAATGTTTTACAGTCATTCAGTCCATATGTAGTACTGTATTGTTGTATCTTAACATGGTTTCAGAGTCAGTCCACTTTGGAGAGAAAAAAGAAAACTTTATCCTTTAGCAGAAAGTTCCCATTCATGAAGAGTCGAGAAGACGGAAAATCTGAGGATGGTTCAGACCAAGAACGTGAGTACATTACTGTTGTTAAATACTTCCTGTCACTGCATACATCGCATTCACAGCGCACATCCAATTGTGATACATTTAACTATCATTAAATCCAATTCTCAATCATTATAAATAATGTATTATATGGTGCAGTGGTACATGTGTATTATAATGATTGGCTTCAATGAATTCAAAGTGTTCCACAAGTATGGTGTGCAAATGTAAACTAAAGATTAAAGGACTGGTTATATTTCTTGGTTATATTAAATTTATGATTTATTCAGAACCTGACGATCTTACATAGCTTTATTAAAATGTATAAAATAAAAATACACCTGACAGAAAAGAGTTGATACTTCGATCACATCTGAACAGGTTTTCTTGAATTATAGTGAACAATCGCTCAATTCCCTTTTTTAAAAAACAAAAAATTAAAATCGGTCTATCTCGTCGCGATTTGCGATTCTTTCCTTGTGCTCACGTATGCTCTGCAGCAGGATTCCTAAGGTGGTCGATATCGAAATACTGATTTTGGGGGTCGACGTTCGACGAAGTTCTTATTTGAAACTTTCAAGATATTGTATTACTTGTGTTATTACATTTACCAACTTGTTACAAAAATGACATATATTTTAGTAGGAAGCATGATTGTTGTACTTTTAAAAAACTCAAGTCGATAAGCGTGTAGTAATTTGGCTATGGGGGCTGAGGTAACAGCTCATTTAAGAAAAGGGGTCTCTTGCCTTAAATAGTTTGGGAAACCTTGCTCTACAGTGAACCATTTATGCCACTATTAACGCCGTCAAGTAGATTACAGTAACATAGGTTTCTCATTCGCAGTGTGTACTAAAACGATAAAGTTTAAAATCTATTAAAAGTTCTCTTAGGTTTTGGTAATGGTTTAAAGAAATTTAGTATTTTTTTATGTATACCTCAAGTATTGGAAAAAGCTCATTAGAATTACGGGGCAGCATTGGAAGCAATCTTCTTTATTTTTATGAATAATTTTGAGGTTGAGCAAAACAATCAGATGCAGTTAATAGCATTTGTCCCCCTCATTCGCCTTTTGTCATGCCTGTTTAACTGCTTGTAATCGTCATTTTATTTCTATATACGGGTGGAAAGATTAATGATATATGATGATAATTAATAGTGATTAATAAAAAAGCGAACTATTAGATAGTCGCTTTTTTTAAACTTTCACAGTGGAAACGTAAGTAGGGGAACCTTTCACTGTGTTCGCTATGCCTTTGACATTAATAACGTACTTAATATTGATTTCACGGACCGAACTCCTCACAGATAATTCTCAATTTGTTTTTATTTAAATATTACTACTACTAATATAATACCACCCGGCCAAAGAGAAGATATTTCTTGAAAGAATTTGACTGTTAGCTCTCGAAGTAGTTATACATAAAGAATCCCGTATTAGATTTGGGTATCCCTCAGAATTCTTTCTTAGGGTGTATCCGCTGATAAGACCCCACTCGCCCTTTAATACATAATTACATAAATCATGCTGGCTTTACCAAAACAGCTACTAAAGCAAGTCTGACCTATGTGCAAAAACGTTAGAGGCGTGCTAAAATTGAAATGAACGCTTGCTATAAGCTAATAAAAAAGCCACACCCATTTAGAATATTTTAGTTTGGGTATTAATATAATAATAATAATCATTTCCTTGACCAATATATGTATATATATTACAGTGTAGGACATTTCGGTTTAAAATAGATCTTAGACATTAAAATTATAGTAGTGTTTTTTTGTTCTTACGATTGTATGATTCGTATCGTATGATTTTTTACACATAAAGGTATTAAGATTTAGTTCAAAACTTTAGTCGCTGTCTACTTGAACTAGGGTAAACTGTGTGCACCAGGGACTTCCTTTCTAGGGTATACCTGGTTCCCCGGCTATTAGTACCCGAGACGGCGTGCGGTTTTAGTCGGTTCGAGTCCGACATGCCACCGATAGGTGGTATCCGAGGGGATTTCCGCACGGAAAAAAAAAGTGTAAACCTGTGCTTCATATATATAATAATAAAAGAATAATAATATTGCACCACATTCACATAACGCCATCTAGTCCCAAACTAAGCAAGGCTTGTACTATAGCTACTAGACAACTGATATAAATACATATATACTTTTTTTTGTAAGTAAATACATACATATTATACATAGAAAAACCCAGACCAAATCAAACAAGAAATGTTCATGCGCACAAATGTTTGACTTGAGCGGGAATCGAACCCGCGACCTTTTAATAGCAGTCCGTTACACAAACCACTACGCCATTCGGTCGTCAATATAGTTCTCAGCATGCCTCGAAGACAGTTGTTTTCCTTTTTAAACAATTGGAAAGTAGGGTTTATTTAATTTTAATATTTAAATATTTCTGAAGGAATAAACTCTGTTACCCTTTAGGCAGGTCTTCGATTTTGGGTTCAGATATTATAGAAGGATCATGATACATTTCTGCAAAGTTAAGTTTTGTCTAAAATTATGTACACAAATTTATGCATGGAGTTCGCCATTGATAAATACTATAATATATTATAAATATTAAAAAAAAACACCGTTTAATACGAGGGAAGCGTTTCAATTGTTTTAGTATAATAAAGTAAAGTAGCCGTTCTGAATAATATACTATATTTAGGTTCCAATTTATCCAATGGATATCCATCCAGTTAATGCCGTAATAATCCAGAATTTACCTTGTGCCTTCTACCCAGTGCAGAGTAAAGTTTTAGTGGCTACCTTAATTAAAGTTGTTCAGTACAGTTTTCGCTATGTATCCATGTATACCATAAACTCTGTGAAAATTTTTTTTAAACTTGTAACAAGGCATTAAATGAAATATAATGTAATAAAGTAAGGCCTTTCAATATTTCGATACTTCTTCGAGAAACATGTATGCATTTAAGCACCAGGGTAAATATCGACAATCTATTACAGCGATCCTAAAATCGTCTACCTAAACCTAACATTTGTGCAAAATCATAGAGCCCAAATATATTTCTTTTTTTTCTTTTCTTTTGGAAAAGACAACTCGCGCACTAGAAATAAATCCTGTGTCGCGGGGAACTTACAAACATACATTAAACAGACACAGAGGACACATAGACTGAGAACAACAAAGTGTTGTCCCATGTGGGGATCGAACCCACAACACCCAAGCGCAGTAGGAAGCGGCAAGGTGATCGCTTAAACCACTACGCCATCCGTGCAGTCCATTTACGTGAATGTTTGATTATTCGCCAGAGAATCAATGGGATTGGTGTATATTTAAATACAACAAGCTTGGCCGCACCAACATACTAATATACCAATTTTGTTACAGCTTTCATGCTTTGTTACACTCAGGAGGATGCTAACGCAGACGGTAAGTGCACAATCTCTTCTCCTTCTCCTATTTATTACTCTCGCTACTGTGCTGTTAATCGTATGTAGGTCATTACGCAGTTTTTTTTTTCATGCGGCTGCTAATAACCACTATGTAAAGTTAGGTCGATTTTACATTGGAGCTATTCGCTTATTCTAACCACAAGAGTTTCACGTACAACGTTTATGAAAGTTGTTATGGCTGTCTTCATGATATTCAGGTAGTTGTGATAAGAATGGAACAATTGTACACTGATGTTTGCTAAGGGCAGTCAAATCAATTTATATCGTATTTTCTATTTAATTAAATACATTTTACATCAAGTTTAACCAATGGTTTATTGTCCTTAGTGTAACTCACTTCTCTCAATATTTATTATTATATTATATACTATGATTAGGCAAATTAATGGTTATGTTTTATATCTTTTATACTACACATGTATTTTATACTACAATCTGTAACAATCATCAAATTGGTAACATTTCGAATGTGATTATTGTAAGAACTCCATAAGGGACACTATCATTGAGATCATTTGAGAACATCACAATGTAGTGATATTTATTACAAAATACTTTTAATCAAAATGTACCGGATCTATGTGAGTAACTTATCGCTTGTAGTGTGTATGGAGACGCATGGTGATGCCTATAATTACAATATAGGTCTAGCAATATTTTGCCAGCAATCGGCATACCGCTTGTCGAATTACATGATGTTGTGGGCAACCCGGTGACAAGCTATATTACCTACCATTACTTCTGTGTGTTAGATAGTTTTATTTTTAATATCTCGCTCCGCTGCACAACTGTGTCTGCTCGATAATTATTACTTAGCTACGACCCCTCCGGGGAAGTATCTTTAAATGTTTGATATTACAAAAAATGTGTTCTGTGTACCAGTGTCGTAATGGACATTTTACAGCTGAATTGTGACTAAGTGTAGACATAACACAGGTGTGTGGTGCGAGCTTCAAGTTACGATTTGGTGTTCCACAAGTAGTTAATGTTAATACTAAGAAGTGGTCCCAGCAAGCACACGGGTTGGTTTGAGACATGTTCGGCCAATGTCCCGTGCTTCTAGTTGCCTAACCGGAGCCAACAAAACAAATGAATCTTAATTATCATCCGGTCGATACAACATACTTTTTTTTTGCTATTTATTTTTCGAGCGCTATTCATAAACAAGTAGTGATCTGTTAAACGAGACACGACGACGTACGATTGATCGAACCTATCTGACAACTCCGTCCGAACGGAAGTCCCCCATCCCTGGCTCCGTGCCCCTGTACGGACGCAATATATGCGTATATTTTAAATGTATGTAACGTTAATTTTTCTACGTGTAGGGGAAATCTTGTATCGAGTGGAACTTCCCATGATGGAGGAGATAACGCTCATTTATCTCGAGGACGAGAGTAAGTTTTGGGAGTGAGGCATAGCTTGCGAGTGCCGTAGCCGATACCTTACCTCCCGCATTCTGGTTATGATCATCAATTAGAAATGTAGTTTTCATTTCAATAACACTCCAGTTTTTATTATTATTTGTCATATTTTCTTTACGTTGAGTTATTTTAATTTCATACAACGCGATTACTCTAATAGCCTCTTCGCACTCGAAAATATTACCATCGAGCTCACGAAAGTGTTTGGATCATCGTTTCAAAATTGTTTGATCACGCCGGGGGGGCTAAGTCCCGCTCACGTCACGTCGCCACACGGTAGTGTCGGTTGTGGAGGAGAGGGAGGCACTGGAAGCACACGAGGACACAAGAGCCGCCTCTGTCACTAGCTGACGCTTCAGGCGCCACGCATGCGAGCACCGATACGCGCTTTGCCTTAGTTCCACACACGTCACACGCCACTCGTCACCGGCATGTTCAGATATAGCGACGATCTCACAACATTCCATTCGAGCTTGTTTTCTATTTTCAAAATTACGCTGTGCTGGTTTACTTTGAGAGTTAGTTTTATCGCTTAAGGCGTCTAGGGATGCTGTAATTATTTGTTAGCCTAGCAGTCGCCGTACTGGCTGTTGTATAGAAAACTGTAAATTTGCTTATTATTTGTTTTTGTTTAGGACTGTGTTGATGGGCGTAATTGAGCCAGAAATAAAAAAGTTATGAAGTCATAAGGGCTTATTTAGTTTTGGCTTGTAGTGAATCCGATTCATGTTGTTCTAGAGTTATTAAAAAAAAATGCAATTCGACACAAGAACAAGTCTAAAAAGTCTATTAAGTATAGATATGAAAAAATAGTTAAACAAAATCTCATCAATCAATCAATCAAAAAAGTTCTCATATTCATACTTAAATCTAATATTCGGTTCTTTAAGTAAATATTGTTTCTTGTGTAGTGTTGTGGATTTTCTTTAAGGAATTATGTTTTATTACAGTAGTTGGCGGATGATTTAATGCATTCATAATTTCGTTAGGCCAAAGTGAATTTTATAATAACTATGTTCTATTTACTTCACTGAGTTGTTCATTTTTCAAATTTATGAAATTAGGTGTAGGTAGTTTTTATATAGTGTGTTATATTAAAAGTAGATGTTGATTTTGTGTTACAAAAGAACTTTTTATTTTAAGATATCGTACTCAAATATTGAATTAATTGGACGATGTTGATTTCACAGCACTAGTATTGCACGTAATACTATTTTGATACAAGCACGATTCGCACGAATGATGTTGTACATATGTTACTGGAAATCAGCAATACGAAGCTAATGGACACGAGTTTATAAGCATTGCATTTTACAACCACATTGTATATTGAAGACTGTCAGCCCATTGTTAGTCACAGAATCATGAAAACGAAACACAATCCACTCGGTCAATAGTTAAATCTGTTATTAAAATGCTAGATACTTAGATTTATAACGAATTTATAGTGAATGTGATTTTAAAATGTAACACGTTACAGGTCAAGATGAAACGGTGCTATCGTATGAGACCGTACAACAGTTGACGATAACTTACACGCGGCCGGTCATAATCCTGGGCCCGCTCAAGGATAGAATAAACGACGATCTAATATCTGAGTTTCCTGAGAAGTTTGGTAGCTGCGTGCCTCGTAAGTTACTAATTTTATTATAAACCTAATTTTGCAATTGTCTATAATGCCTCAAATTTATAACCGACTTCCAAAAAAAGAACCAGGGTCACCGACATTGAACGGCGAATTGCCAAACTTAAGTGGCCGATGGCCGACCGTGTACCGGCAGACGGAGCGTGAGTAGGCCCCTCTCAAGGTGGTCGGACGACCTGGTAAAGGTAGCTGGAAGCAGTTAGATGCGGGCTGCACAGGACCGGTTGTTGTAGCGAACTTTGGGGGAGGCCTATGTGGACGTCTTTTGGCTGAGATGATGATGATTTTATAAATTTCGGCTAAAATTTCCTTTTCCGTACATCGATTTTGGGGCTGAAATTTTTTTTCAGGATATATTACACTATTATAAGAACACACGTAAAAGTTTCAACACGCGGAGACGCATAATTTTTGAACAAAAAAATATTGAAAATCAATTATTTTTGCAATTCTTCTGTCAATATTACACTATTAATGACAAGCTTTACCAAAGATTATATAAAATTCTCATCACGAAACGTTTCGTTTCATCTATGGTTAAGTTGTCATACGTTCCGTAACATTTTATTTTACATAAATTTACGTAAATAATTATATTTTGTACTCATTTCAATAGTTTTCATGCACACATATATTTAAGGGTTTATATATATTAAATTACAGCATTATTTTCATTACAAGCTATTAAAATTTGTAGTGTTTACCGTCTTTAGCCGACTTGTGGAACGAAACGTAAAACTCCGTCCTGCAACGAGTTGTCATACGTTCAGGAACATTTTGTTTTAAATAAATTTACGTAAATAATTATATTTTGTACTCATTTAAATAGTTTACATACACACATATTTAAAAGTTTTTATATATGAAATTACTGCATTACTTTCATTACAAGCTATTAAAATTAAAAATAAAATGTGTAGTGTTTACCGTCTGTAGCAGACTAATGGAACGAAACTTAAAAATCCTTTCTGAAACGTCTCCGGCGCTGCGGGAAATGCAGCCTCTACGCCCTTGCGTAACAAATCGTAGGCATCCGTCCTCGCCTCCGCAGCTTCGGCTTGCTGGTCGCCTTCGGCGACCAGCCTCAGCCGCTCCGGCTCGTCCGATGCCTGCGATTTGTTACAGCGGGCGGAGGCTGCTCTCCCTACGCGCCTCCGGTTCTATAAAAACACTCTAGGGGTAGGACAGAGTCGTACCACGTGGAGTCGGGGTCAATCAATTCGGTTCTGTGACATAAGTTGAACCTAACCTAAATTATTTGTTATCTGCTCTAACAGGTACTGTCATGCTATAATTTATCATATATAAACTGTTAAATATATGTGTGCATGAAAACTATTGAAATGAGTACAAAATTTAATTATTTACGTAAATTTATGTAAAATAAAATGTTACGGAACGTATGACAACTTAACCATAGATGAAACGAAACGTTCCGTGATGAGAATTTTATATAATCTATGGTAAAGCTTGTCATTAATAGTGTAATATTGACAGAAGAATTGTAAAAATAATTGATTTTCAATATTTTTTTGTTCAAAAACTACGCGTCTCCGCGTGTTGAAACTTTTACGTGTGTGCTTATAATAGTGTAATATATCCTGAAAAAAATTTTCAGCCCCAAACTCGATGTACGGAAAAGGAAAGTTGAGCCTAAATTTCAATTAATAATGCAGCAAATTTTTTGTGTTGTTGTTAGGTCGTAGGGTGACAATTTTGGCTTATTCCCATAATTTATACAGATTTCATGTACATTTTATCAATATTAACACAAAATTCGCTTGTCTGCAGATACAACCCGTCCCCGCCGGGATTACGAAGTGGACGGGCGCGACTATCACTTTGTGGCGAGTCGGGAGCAGATGGAGCGTGACATACAGAACCACCTTTTCATCGAGGCAGGACAGTACAACGACAATCTGTACGGAACCTCAGTCGCTTCTGTCAGAGAAGTTGCGGAGAAGGTACGTACTTTAAATTAATGACCAAACCATATTGACTTTCAACAGCTAATTGTACTTGGTAACAATTTTTTATACTCAGATTATAATTAAAATTTCTTGTATTACCTTAGACTTGCTATAGGTTAAACTTATACCCTTACTTAAATTAGCAAATTGCAACACGGCTGGCTATACATCATATTATGTTTCAGGGCAAACATTGCATTTTGGATGTAAGCGGCAACGCAATTAAAAGGTTACAAGTGGCGCAACTGTATCCTATTGCCATATTTATAAAACCAAAGAGTGTAGAGTCTATAATGTAAGTATGAGTTCAAACTAGTCGTATAGTATCTCTACATTTAGCTATATTTAGATGATCCTAAACAAAATCTTAATTTTAGGGAAATGAATAAGCGAATGACTGAGGAACAAGCTAAGAAAACCTACGAGCGCGCCCTCAAAATGGAGCAAGAATTCGCCGAATATTTCACTGGTTCGTATTAATTAAATGTTATCTGAATCCTGTGAAATAAATTATAAAAGAAGTCGGAATAGGGTAGAGTCACTAACACATAAGTTTTATTTGTAGCGGTGGTGACGGGTGACACGCCGGAGGAGATCTACGCGAAGGTGAAGGCGGTCATCACCGCGGAGAGCGGCCCTACGGTGTGGGTGCCGCGCCGCGAACCGCTGTGAAGTGCCATACAGCCCCCCTCCCTTCCCACCATCACCACCCTCTTCACTAGTACCTATTATTGTGCCTCGACTCCACTCGCCACCCCTGCTGACGGAGCGGAGCGCCCGCCTCGCTCGCGGCTTTAGATTTACGATAAGAGTTTCTTGTATCACCGCTTGATAGATAGACCATATCGGAGTTCATTTAGCGTCGAGAGATATACATTGTCGACGAAGTTTCCATATTGATAGCGTTTACCGTTCACTATATTTACGCTTACGTATTCGTGCAAATATCGCGCTATCGATGCGGACGAGTCGTCGAATGCGAATTTTATGACCAATTATTATTTTAAATTGTTTGACAGAGCTCACTGATTGTGCTTCGATTGACTATGTAAATTGTATATTTAATAACATTAAAAAATGGTATTATACAAGTTAATTTACTCAGGTTGCTAGAAACGTTTTGAATTTTTCGTCGTTATAAAATTACAATATTTGGATAGTGGATATATCGTACGAGACGAATCACGATGCACGGGTGATTTTAAACCGCTAAAAAGTGTATACTTATTTATTATATAGTTATGATATAGTAACGCTGTGTAGTTGAACCCACCTCACGCATGGCTAGATTAAGACGTACATAATCAGGATTATTTGCTCAAGTGGCAATTTATATCGTAATCATTGAATCTCATGACATTTCTGCACACTGTTGTCCTCCTTTACACTTTACGCGAGGTGCAAAGTTGTTTGTTGATCATTTTTATAGTAAGCAATTGTGTTATATGGTGTGAAATGTCTCACCAATTAAATAGTGTTCGACATTAATTTATTGAGAATTTTATTTTCTTACGGAATAATTGATGCTCATCTGCAAATATGGCGTTAGAAGCGGGCATGTAAATCTTAACTTGCAATATTTCATATATGTTTGTTATGTCATGGCGAATATTCTTCTAATTATGGTGTTCTTAATTAAGCAAGTGATTTATAACATCAGAGTATTATGTGTGTACCTTAGAGAACAGTGACGATGAATATATTTTTTAAAAATAAAAATAAAACACGGTACTTAAATATTGTATTAATAAATGAGAATGTTAAAGTATTACTTAATAAATTCATACATGACAAATGCTATTGACGAATATTATAGACTATTTTAACTTTCTTGACCGAAAGTAATTACGACAAATCTGTTGGTAACCAGAACTGATAATTTGTTAAATCTACCAAAGAGATTTGACATTGTGTATATTAGCAATATTCGTGAAGAAGAACTCTTCAAATTGTTAAACTCGTTGTTTGTCGTGATTCCTTTTAGTATTACTATTTTGTGTATTGTAAATAATGATAAATATTTTAATTTATTTTTAAGATTCTGTATCAATGTATTAACACCATAGTCACGAAAATGGTTTATTTTAAAGCTATTTATTTTATCTTTATAAGTAGGTATTTTATTTATAATAAATTGAGTTTTGTGCAAATTAATTGTATAATGTCTTAACATGTAGTTTTAACAATTCGCAACCATATTTGCAGATGTACAATGTTTATGAGTTAGTGATGTTCAATAGAATAGTTTGAATAAAATTATTTACGTTGAAAATTCATTGTTGTTTTTGTTGTATGTATCCTTTTAGTACAAACTTACTTCACAAGAAAAAGAGATTCATTTTAATTTGCACTCAATCTCGTTTCATAGTGGTAAGTAATGTTACTCATTTTGAAGACATGACAATCTTCTTGCTGCTATCACTATACGTTAGAAACTGGCTCTTTCTGGCTGATGATAAAGGCAGCATGATGTTTGTCCATTTTAGGTCGGCGACGACTGACCAATCATCCACCATCCGCTCAGAGCGTGTAACGCGCGATAATTAACTTCGTTCCGATAATAATCTCACACGCCCGTCTGACCCCACTAACCAGCTAATGAACATACTTGCATATTATGTAAATTGGACGGAATAAAATGATCATGCTCACCACAATTATTTATCCTGGTTTGGAATCGAAACCACGACCTCTGGCTTAACAGTTAGGGTCACTAACCATTGGATCTAAAGATAAGGTCTAATCAAAACCCATTACAACATTGGACCAGCTTCGACAAAAAATCACCCAGGCTGCGGATAATATCAATGGTAGAAGGTATGCAACAAAAATAAAACGATCGTTTTTAAAGCGATGTCGTGTTTGTATTAATGCCGGTGATAAACAATTCGAACATTTACCGAAATGGAATAGATTAATAAAATATTATGTAAAATTGTTACTTGTTTTGATTAATTTAACATTTTTCAAAAATAATAGGTCTTTACCTATGAAATTGCCGTTTTGTATGCAATAAGTGAAAGTACTTATTTTTTCAAACTTTTTTATTTCTGTTATTCGAAGTAATCACCCATGCAATCGACGCATCTTTGCCAACGCATTGGCAGTTTATTGATGCCCTTCTTGTAAAAATCTGCTGGACGGGAGGCAACAAACTCTTCAAAGGCATTTTGTACTGCCTCTCGGGAATTGAATTTTTTACCTACTAAAAAGTTGTCTAAATTTTGGAAAAAGTTATAGTCGGTAGGTGCAGTCTGGTGTACAAAATTATTTTGTATGATTTTTGTACGATTATTTATCCTGGGTTGGAATTGAAACCACGACCTCTGGCTTAACAGTCAGGGTTACTAACCACTAAACCAAAAGCCCCGTCACGTGTATTTGGCAGTGACGCTAGTACTAGCGTATTTTTAGGTTTTCAGCCTAATAACTCTAGGATTCTGAAAGAATTGAGTGCTGAGTATACCTAGCTGTTTTTTCTCTGTAAACATTGCTAGTTACATTGACCTTAAACAACGAGAACATGGCTTGAGGTGAACAGTGTCGCTTAATTTCTTACAAGTCACGGTAACATAAGAATAAACCGCATGCAAATAAATTAGTCGAGTCACCATTGTGTCAATGATGAGCTATTAAGTATCATGAGCGCCCTAGGCAAGCATCTCATCGCCCCCCCCCCTCGCCCTTACTAAATAATAGCTAGTTGACGCTACTAAATGTGTGATAGTGATGACTAGAAATTTTTGTTGTCATTTCTTTCCTAGAACTTTAATTTTTTTTCGTATTGAAACCCCCATGGACTGTCATCCCATCGGGGTTTGCGGTTAGGTGGTGTATAGGGATCGAACAGACTAAAATCACACACTGCGCCTGAAATAGGAGGGTTTCGATAACAGCTTTTATTAAGACGTCCGGGCCTCCAATCCTCCATGAAGACCTGGTAAAGTTAGGATTTCTGGTCTTCGATTTTTCAAGTCCCACGATCCCAATCCAGTACGAGCCCCAGATACCTCATCGAGGACTTGATGTCAATGCGAGTGCCCACTACTATGAGACTGGATCCCTCAGGTGACCTTCTCCGAGGCTCATGAAAGTACAAGGCCTCAGATTTCTGCGGAGACATATCGATTCCCGGGCGGCGGATCCTCACGGTGCCTCTTACCGCACGATTCTTTAAAAGCGTGTGCAGCACCTTCGGGGATAAACTTTCATTTAGAAGACGCCCGACCCACAAGAACGTCACCTCCTCGCGGTAGTTCTTCGTGGTGAGTGGCATGAGGCGCTTAAAGGCGCGCCAGCCGTGGAGCGTGTTACTGCTAGTAGCGAGAAATCCTCTCCGATGACTGCAATGAGCGCCCGACACCACGTTGACCATTGGAATACTGAGCCTTGTTGAAACTGCACTGCAGTGGTAGGCGCAAGTCAATTCACTCCTAGCGAACGACTGCTGGTACCTATATAAATAGACGTGCCCAGAAAAGGCGTCAGTCGGAAGGATGCCCACTAGACGATGACCGGCTGTAGTGCCACCACGGCGCCAAAGCCAGTACGTGGAGCGAGTCATCGTGGGTCGGCAAGTGGCCTTTAGCCACTTATTTCCGCCTTTAAATCTCATGGGGGTACCGCACCTCATCAGCACCTGGCAGCTTTCTTCTGGTCGATCAGAGCTTCTGCTCACAACGGTGCACTGTATAGTCCCATTGACTGGACAACCCTTGTCTATTACTACAACTTATAGAGTAATCTCAACTATAGCTGCAGTTGTCGCAACTACATTTTTGTGTACACTCACTAGCCTCAATCTTCTTAGGTATCAAGAAATGAAACCAAAGAAATAGTGGAAATTAGATCCTAGATGTCAACCTTAAGCGTAAGCGTAATAAAAAAGGATTTTTTATATTGTGTAAGTATGTATCTATTCTTTCTATCTGTAATTTTATCTTTGTAAAAAATAAAAATAAAAACAATTGTCGGCTAAGGCGCTTCCAATTAAGATGTTTGGTGCCGGAATGCGGCAATCCGGGCGGGCAATCTGCTGACGGGCGGCTATGATTTTTCATAAAAAAGGGCTCAGCGAAAAAGCAGTACAATGCACGTCCCTTGGCGGAACGGCAACATACAAGTAGGTACTACCTACCTGCCAAAGACGTTTGCTAGTGTGGTGAATGCATCGTGTTTATTCGTAACGTTAATAAGGACGTTTTGGGGCACACGTACCTAATTATGAACGATTGGAATACAGATACAGCCTGAATTCTAAGGCTGGTTTCATAGTCCTGCTAATTTTGAAATGAGTTTAGTCAGTTTAGTATGACGCGGTAGACAATCGTGATGATACCTTTTTCAATACAGGTATTTATTATTCCCTATGGAAACAATGACGTCGAAGACGTATGCGACTTAACCTAAGGGACGGAGTGGCCGGATGTCTGAACACGGCAGGACATGCTTCGGACGAAGGACGCTTTATGTGACGCGGCATGAAAGACAAGTTTTTTTTAAGCATTTAACTCCCGTTTTTATCGTCATTTGCCGCCGATTAAAAAAACTACTAAACTACACTAAAAAGTAAAAAAATAAATGCATGTTCTTCTACAACTTAATAATCAACTTACTTTTTCTACTCATCAATATGTAGGTACGATCTATGTGTTTACCAAGCAAGAAGGCAGGTACCTACCCACTTCAAATCTAACTCTTTTAGATAATAAAAATAATTTTGATTGATTTTAATGTCATTTTTCTTTGTCTATGACGAAATCACATGTGAAATCGCTGTGTTCAAAACAATCATTACATCAAATAAATATGAAGTTTAAAAGTAGCAATAACTCCATGACTACTACTAACCAATTGTTTTTGCCAAAAAATACATATTCTGATTTTTTTTGTCACCTTAAAAAACTGACACTGGATATACACTATTTTAACTAATATTTTATCTAATATCAGTCAGTTAAATGTTTTTTCAAAACTGTTACTGAGTTTCAGTACTGTTATATTGTATTATTCTGTATAATTAAACTTTTAGATTTAGGAAATGTTTGCATATTTTTGCAGCCTAACAAGCAAAATGTACAGATTTAAGGGTTTATGTCAAAGAATAACTTAGGGAAAATTTATAAACAGTAGTGTTTAGTCAGATTAATTATATTTAATGTTTTTATATCTCATCCAGTACAACAGTTGTCTTTTCGGACACATAAAGACCGTCTAAGAACTTTCTGATATCCTTATTTTTTACTGTGGTGGACTGCTGGATCAGGGCGGCGGAGCTGGAAACATCTTCCAGTGAGTTGCCTTCTATGATCAATTCATCCTTCTGTTTGGGAGAGTTTACAACAGTCACACCAGGTGCCATCTTAACTCTTCTAATGTATTTCTCACCAAGGAAGTTACGGATTTCAATAATGGTATTGCCTTCAGTGGTGACACAGTTAATGGGGAAGTGAGCATATACTGCACGCATCTTGTACTGGAATCCCTTGGTGACACCTGTAACAGGGCAAATTTATAAGATTAAAATAAGCCTAAACCATAAACTTGAATAATAGTTTCACAATAATATATCTGGTTAACCTATAGAGAAATATATTTTGGTATGTTTATTTAACAATATACTTTGTTACACTAGCACTTAAAGGTGAATTTATGACCCATTAATTACTAACATTTTTAAGAATTCTAAATGACCTAGTTTTAATATGTCTACTGCACATTTTAAGACACTAATAATGAACAAAGACCACAAGCCAATAAAGATAATCTAAATGTTTGACATATTTTTTTTGGACATTACAAACGTACATGAAACATACACAAGGAACACCCAGACTCAGAACAATAATTTGTTGATCACACAAAGTGTTGTACCGTGCGGAGATCCAACCCACATCACTTAGCGCAGCAGGAAGTGTGAAGGTGTCCTCTTAAACCACTACACCAATTGTGCAGTCGAATTTTATTATAGGTCTACCTTCATTAAAATCTTGTGTTGTTGAATAAGCATTTTTGTGCAAATCATAAGACAATGTCACAATTAAAAATAAGTGTTCCATGATGCCTGTGAATTGAATTGAATTTTTAACAGATTTAAAAATTTCTCAGTAGCTGATTGCTAATTTTGCACTGCACAGATTGCGTAGTGGCTTAACATGCCACCTTGCTGCTTCCTATTGTGCTGGGTGTTGTTGCTTCAATTCCCACATGGGACAACACTGTTTAATCTATTTCCCAGTGCGGGATTGCATTTATAACAAAGCAGGAGTGCTCAACAAGTTGATCTTATTGGATCAGTGTATTGTTGTCTAGGGTGTAAGCACTAAATGCTGCATATTTGGCATGCGAGTGGAGTTCCAGAAACTTATTCAAGTTATATATAATTTATGATATTAATAGTATTCTACCACAGTCACCCAAAGCCACTTGTCCTAAATTGCTTGCACTATGTGTACTGGTATAAGCACATAGATACTTTTTTTATAAATACATACATAAATATTTAATTACATGTTCATGCGCACAAATGTTTGACTTCAGCGGGAATGGAATCTTTGGCGTAGCAGTCCGATACACCAACCACTACGCCGTCCAGTCGTATCATATGATATCCGATGCAACTATGCTTTAAGAGTTTGTCCTTTATTCAAGTAAGATTGGTAGATTAAAGAATTGACTATCCAATAACAGTTGAACAATAACAAGTAAACAAGTTACCTTTGATCATGTTTTCAACGTGTGAGCAAACAGTCCTGACTGCTGCAAGTTCTTTCTTTGATCCAAACCATTTCTCTACTTTAAGTAAGCGAGGGTTCATCATGCGAATGTCAACAGCCAAGTGCTTGAAGTTCCTTTTCAAAACTCCGCGCGGTCCTTTCACTGTCACCAACCGCGACTTAACGTGTACAGTAAGACCCTCAGGGATCTTCACTTTCTGGTTCGCAACTATTTGCTTCATGGTCAAGCCTAAAACGATAACAAACCCAGTTACTACACTTAACCTACAAGTCGCAAAACTTGTCAACTGAGGTGTGTATGTTTGATGTTTGGTAAATGAAATCTTATTTAGAACAAAAGCTATATATAATTTCTCATCACAGTAGATCACTATCACATGAATATATTAGATGTTTTATAAGATTTTAATGGATTTTTATAATTAAAAACACAATCACCTACTTTCTTTGACACTAGAGCCGGAAAAGGCAGATTGGGCAAGGAAATGTTGCCTATACAAAAAATACTAAGACTGCCATTCTAGTCAAAGGAGATGTCCACGTTTTGTATGGACGTTGGTTTTTTTTATTCCAAGTGAAATTCATTAAGACTCAAATTATATAGAAATATAACGGATAAAGTTAGGATTTAGAAAATAGTTGGATAATAAATTTATAACTAACAAAGCTATCCAGTATTAACTGTCGGCCTCAAAGTAGGAAAATGAAAAGACTCAGAAATAAATACTGGATTTTTTATTTCTATCCTTGATATTTTTTGTGGAGTAGTTTCTCAATATGGTGAAGAGCCTTCAGTTTTGGTAATTAGGCTGTGACCTTAAGTTACAGTCAATTCAATCTAAGTCAAAAAACATTTTATATCGTCTGGTAAAACAATTTCAAGCGTATTTTTTCTTAATTTTTAAACATTTGAAGTTGCGGGCATGTCTTAGATTTATACTTAAGAAATACTATTATTATTTTTCATTTAATATCGTAAGTTATGTATTTAAACTTGAATGTTACTATGAATATAAATACAATACAACATACAATAAATTTATTACGTATCTGAAACATTTTTATGACTAATATTGACCGAAAGTAAAACTTACAATAATAACAAAAATATCACAATTATATTGTTTCATGGGTATCATGATATCAAAAATTTATTGTGTTGGGTAGGTGGTACTGGGCTCATGCCTTTGACTTATATGTTCAGAAACAATTTGTGTTTATTTGAGAACAGAAGCGAGCCGCTTATGCCCTGCACAGATCTGATGATAGAATAGATTTGAATAGAATAGACTTGAAAAAAATCGTAGAGTTTTGTCAGTGCGTGTATCGAGAGTATGATAAATGGGATTAAAAATGTGACAGCTTTGACACTTTTGACAGTGATCACTATAAACATCTGATTGATCAAATTTACAAATTTGAGTTTTCCGACTCAGACTTGGGTATATTAAATGAATTTAGTAAATTATAAATATAATTAAATATATAATTATATTATATATTTTAGCATACTTTTATAGTACATTATGATGTTTAAAAAACTCATTAGAGCTGAACTTAATTTCAATCGTATTTTTGCCCGAGGTAAATTAAATTTTCATATAACCTCTAGAACCCAAAGAAAAAGTTTATGTAGTCTGTTTTGTGTACAGGTTTGGGCACTAAACTGTCATGGGACATCGTAACAGGAGTCTGCATTGAAAGGTTACCAGTGGTCACTCCACCATTAAGTGAAATTCAGAATAAATACAAAGACCTGCTGTATACCCTAGAAGTGGAAAAGAGCATGAAGTCCCAACATGAAATAAGACATGAAAGTGATAAGTAAGTTTTAAAGTAGCTATGTTATATCTGAAGCCAATGTACCTGAAGTAATAACACAATAGCTACTGGACACATCCTACACACGAATGTCTGATCCCCACTTACTGGCCTGTTGGTCTAGGCCTGAGATTATAGGTTCTATTCCCACCCATGACAAATTATTGTGTGATGATCACAATAATTTGTTCTGCGTCTAAGTCAAATATATTAATAATAATATGTATATACCTAGAAATATAAAAGTATGTTTATCAGAGGTCTGGTTACAGTAGTACAGCTAGTTTGGGATCAGACAGCCATTTGTGAGATGTGTTAAGTTATTCTTACAAAAAAAAACTAGGCAGAGCCTATATGGTTGTTAGACATACTTATATATATCTAAATAAATATATGTTTTATATAAATTACACCTAGACACAGAACAAATATGTCCAGCAGTGGATTATTAAGGGCTGATGATACCAATTTACATTACAAACCCACAAACTGTTTTTTATAAATAAATATTATTTTAAAAGATTTATGGTATACATATGTAATGAATATATTATTATAATTTTTGTTGCTAATCACACAGTTGGCATGTTTAACTGACAGCAGGAAGCATTTTTATTTATCAAAAATAAGTACTAAGATGGTAAATTATATTCTTTCTTTTTATTTAAAGAGTGCAGGCGGAACTTCTCAAGAATGAGTCAGTTGATGTAGATTTAGATGCAGTAAGTAAAATTACCGCACAGGACTTTGAGGATGCTTCCAATGAAGAATTTAACAAATTCAAATTTGCAGATATTGAGACAGGTAAAATAAGTACTTTGTTTAAAGTTGAATGAGCATCATAGCTAGCAATATATTACAAACATTAGTAAAGGACCATCATCGCCTACAAAAAGGTGGAATATGGTTTTAAACAACTATTTTGATGACTCTACACAAAACAGTTTCTGTATTACTTTTAGTAATTAATTTAAATTTATTGGTCTTGGTTTATGGCATTTTTACTTTGGTAATACAAACCATTGCCACCATCGACGTGAGTTTAATTTAAAATATAAATATTTGAATTACACATTAAAACTCACTTTAGTATCACTATAATCCAAGTACTTAGGTCTTTACCATCAATAATTTTTATCATTTTTTATGATTGCATAAAACTATTGGGGCCTTAGGTATTAAAGATATTATCGGTATTATTAAAATATGATTTTCGCTAGATGCTGACAAAAAAGGTGACAAAACCTCGACAGAGAGATGTCTTCAAAAGCACTTGGTAATGGTTACTCCAATAAAACTGGGCTCTGATTTAAAGACATTGCTACCTCAAGGTTTGTGGAAAGAAGGAGAGACTTTAAGACAGGTAATTGTATATCATATATATGTTCGTTAATTTGGTTTGAATATGTAGATAAGTTGTGGATTGTCCGGTACCAGCTAGTTGAGTTACTGGTTCTTTCCCTTTAACCCCTTAAGTGAAAAAGTTATCATCATCATCTCAATCAAAAGACGTTCACTGCTGGACATAGGCCTACTATAAGGTTTGCCACAACAATCTGTCCTGTACTGCCCGTATCCAACGGTTTCCTGCGACCTTCACCAAGACCTCAATTCTGCTATTTTAATATTGTATCAATGGACTGTGCGCTTTTCCTATTCTACTGATTATGTAAGACCGATGGCCTCCCAATGACTTGTCACTGATAAAAATGTCGTCGATGTCATTGCAACAGTTAGGTAAATAGTAATTTTAAATTTGTTAGATAATGATATAATTGATTTTCAAGGTATGGCAATGCTGTTGATATTACCATTGATGATCTATAATACTATATCGACAGTCTATTGACACTGTGAATAGTTAGTAGAATACTGTCATTTTGGCCGTTGTCAATGGCGTCACAATGGCATCTCAATACACGCTATTGAGATGAATGACAGAGGCTTGGTGTTAACATAAAATAGCAGAATTGAGGCTCTGGTCGTCGGACTACCTTGTGTGGGTAGGCCTACCCACGCTCCTCCTTCCGGAAGACGAAAATTGTTATAGTAGATTTAAAATAATAATAATAATAACATGACACAAATTAGGCCTGTGCTATGGGAACCAGGCTGATAATAAACAGTGATTTATTTCTAAATACGTGCAAATGGTATCACACAATTATCGAATATCGGTATCGAACCAATGACCTCTGGCTCAAAAGTCAGGGCGACGTGACCAATTTTTTTATGCTAATTTATTTTTTAAATGATTTACTCATCTTTGTATATTCTGCATATATTTGTTTCGTGTTTTAAAAGTAGATGGCGTTGTGGTTGAGATGTCGGAAAATTTTATTATTATTACATAGTTTTTTTTCTTTGATCTATAAAATAGCGTGCATAGAGAATTTTTTGCATTAATTTCACGAAAATTTCCTCAACAGGGAATTGTGAAATTTGGTGTATCAAAGATTTTAATTAAGAAGTGTATTAAGCTAAAATTTCTAAACAATATGTGATCTATTTATGTTGACCCATTCACGAAAAACGTATACCTCTTAAGATAGCGCCAATGAATATAGTAATGAGCTATGGTCGAAATTCGCTCATCTAGATTATTATAATTTCTCTTTCTGTTGACCCATCAAATGTAAGTAAGAAGTAGTAAATAAAGGTAGTAGATGGGATTACCAACCATGTGTGCAATCACAGAGTAGTGCCCAAGTAGTGACAAATTGCAGTGGGTAACTGCCATTAATAATGGTGTTTATAATAAGTATTTATGAAGTCTCTGTGAAATCCTACTGGGACGGCAAATTTCACAAATAGGCAGGCTCGATGGGAGTGATACCACCCACGGCCTCGGAGAAAACCGCTAATATAAATTAAGCAATTCTGTCGCCGCATTTCACTGAGTGAGGGAGCTCATTGAAGCCCAACCTAAACGAGTTAGACGAGAGCTAGACGAGTTAGGTTGGGCTCATTTTTTTTTTGTAGGACCCGGACTATGTTATTTCAGGTCCTCACCGAATTGACACCATGTCTAATCATGTCCTATCCCAGGGGAAAACACTTCCCCCCTCAATCGCGACGTGACTGGTTGACATGTCGGTTGGGCTCCTAATTCTTATACTCAAAGGGCAGCCACGCACTTCACATCATCACATCAACAGCCTTTAACGGTCCACTGCTGGACATAGGCCTCTCCTTAGAAAGGAGGTTTTGGCCTAGTATACCACGTTGGCCAAACGGGTTGCTATAGGGTTTGTGTCAAGTTTTAATTTTAGTTTGCTCCGCTCCGCTCCATAGAGGTGGTGACACTCTGTATTCTTAATCCGTCACCACTCGGATAAGCAACGCACTCATGACCCTTGAGTACCATAAATCCGTGCGCGGCGGTAGTCGATCGTTGGCCTTTGTTCCATAAAAAAAACTCCTACTAATTCATTATATTTTGTTCTCCATCCATTAGACTGCAGAAAGAGTTGTACAAGAGCAATGTGGGCCTGAATTAAAAGTGCAATTTGTATCAAATGCGCCATGTGGATTTTATAAGTATAAATATCCGTCTGAAGTCAATGGAAAAGTAGGAGCTAAGGTAAGTAAATTAATAACTCTTTCATATAATCGAGTTTTTTTACATTAACTTTATCACCTAAGTATTTTTACTATATTTTTCAGTACTTTATCATATAAGTCTTGATAATCTAAAGTCACTGGGAGGGTGAAACAATGCTTTAAATTAATCCTGTATAGCAGTTGAAATATTTGTTTTACCAAATGTGCTTTTTTCTTGATATCCACTATTATTTATTTAGTTGGATTTCTGATAATCTTTCTGATTTTTAAGAGATCAGAACATGTAGTCCCATTTGTGGCAAAACTATACTAACTTTTACGTAATAATAGATTATTATTTGTAAGAAAGAAATTTGTACATACATAATTTTTAAATGAACTCACAACTTGATAAACTAATAGAATAAGTAAGACTAATTATAATTATTAAGTATCTATTCTATATTTAATAAATAATTTTGATTAACTAACAAATTTTTTGACACATTTTGATTATTTAATTTTTTAGGTGTGAGTCTATTATTTATATATTTAAAATACAAAGGTTAGCCAGAACCAGAGCTTAAAGTACCTACCTATTCTACCTAATCTTCAAATAGACACTCTTTTGCCTAATGAAAATATGTGTTCAAAGGAGGATCGTTCGAATTGTTTTCCATGGCCTTAGGAGATCATTATTTTGACCTTAACGCAAAAACTAAAAAAACTTGCCATTTTATTATTCAGACTTGTTAGAGGTTCCATAAATCATCCAAAGTTATAGGGGTCATAAAGTGGTTTAGTGGATATTAAGGTATTCTTAAGAACTGTCGATGTGGATTAAATAAGACTTTAAACGTGCCGAATCTTTTAAGTAAAATAATGTCTCAATGTGATACTTCGGTTAACCGCAGATATATTAAAAATGAGTTGGCAACAGCTAAGACTATTGTTTAGGCGATGTATTCGTCAGTCTTCTCTTGTCTTGTTAAGATTTTGCCGTCGGGTCAAAACTCAATACAGGTTTACTACTATTGATTTTATTAGGGCCCTTAATACTGATGACACTCAAGTCTTTTATAAAAAACAACATAGCAAAATTATCCTAAAATCGGTACGGACTAGATTGGCAACTTCATGAAAAAACTATCGAAGGTAAAATAACTATGCTCCTCATTTACCTCCTTATTTTGTGAAATCGATAACTTTTGTAATCTATGTAGTAAATCTTTAAATGGTTTCTAGCAAATCGGTCCTTAACATTGATACCCTACTGTAAAAATACGTAACTGTCTAAAAGTGTACAATCTCAACTTATTTTGTTTTAAATGTTTGTTATCTCAGAACTACTCTATTAATGTCCTATTATGAAAATTCTTTCTTTCTTTGAAAGAGTGCATTTCCCGGTTGGTCTCAAGTGTAATTAAGTGATAATTATCTTACAATTTGTACTTATCATGTGAATTCCCATAAGCTTACGTAAATACATAGAAAGAAGTACGCAACAACTTCCGAATTGATATTTATTGTTTTAAATATACTTTGTGCTTACAGGTATTCTTCTATTATGCAAACTACAAAAGTGGTGCTCCTAAGACGAAATCAAACTGGCTCACTAGGAATGAACTCAAAGATATATTGCCCGACAAATACAACAAGTCTGTCAACGAGTTCCTAATAGAAGAAACATACTGATATTTATATTTGTAGTGAACGTAGTAATAAATATATTAAAAGTTAAGATTTTATTATTTTTATGGTCCACAAATCGTGTTATACAGATATGTTACAGAAAGGTGAGCGCAAATACAGAGTGTGTTATATGTAGTTATGCGTAGTTGATTAGATTGACATAAAAGTGGTCGAAATATTCGTTCTGAAATTCTTTATTTGATGTATCTACATCATCTACGTAAGTTCATCGTTCGTTCATTAATCATTATTCATCTACAATGAACAAAGTAAATGAAGTTGACATAAAAATCTATAATATTCCAATAAAAACGTTACAGATTCGTAGGTTGTGCTGTTTTCCTATAGCAAAAAGTTGTAACATATAACTATTTAATTTGGTAACATTTTTATAATTTGCGTTAAAGTTTGAATATAAATAATGAAAGTGATTAAGAATATTATTGCAGTTTTGTTCATTTGAAAACATAACATAAATATGAAATAAAATAAAGATAATTAAAAAAATAGTCTTCAAAAAATAGTTCTCAGAGTAGTTATGATCATTTACCAGTATTTATTTCACTGGCTGTTCAGAATACCTTAAGATAATGTAAGATTTAATTGCGGCCATTAATGTTTAGGTATTTTAAAATAACTGCTGGGTGAACTTCAAAAAAAGAAGAAGAAACTAAGGACAGAGTATTGAACTTAACTACATGTAATTTGCTGTATGTTCAATTTAAATACATTATTTACATTACATGCTTATAAACGAACTTTACAAATGACACAGGCATGAGAACAAGCAAATTTATACAAATTTGTTAACTCACAATATTTAATGGTGGACGTAATAAAATTAGACACTTTTATTTCTTTAATAAATTTAACATTATCCTTGTCGTGAAATTCTTCATCAGAAAAGTCTACAATGTAACTAAGTACATACCTACATATTATTATTTGGTTACAGTAAAGTGCGCAGTTAGTTTTCGTCTCTTATTGGGTACTAAGAAATATTGTTTAGCGCGAATCTCTTGGCAGCAAGCGCTTCACGTTAAAGCATGGAAATAGAAGTTTACTTAAACAATGCGCGTGGTTTTATAAGTAAACAGTTTTTTGCTGCCGAACTCCCGAACATTCGAAGAGTAAACTTCGTTAATTTGAGTTCTGTGTTATGGGAATAAGACTTTATATTGCAGAATATATAACGATCGTTTAAATAGAGAATACGTACTGTACGATAATATTCTGTTTATGAGATTTAGCTTCTATGTTCTACGGTTAGAGTAGATTGTCTTTTGTTTCACTTTATTGACTAAGGATGGAACATGTTAACTGCACTTCCCAAGGCTCCCGCTTTTCGTTTACAAACAACAGTGTGCTGGTTTTGGTTTGTGTTGTATAAGATTAACTGATTTCCTATGAAAGTATGTAAATAAATTCTTAATGTTTCTCTTTCGTTAAACTGCTCTACATAGCTAGCTATTGATATCGGTGGCATGGTTTATTATATTCGATTGCTATTGAATATGCAACGTTAGCTTAAACTTTTATCTTCAGTTCGTTTTCTATTTGATATTAAACGCTTTAATACATAATTTTATGATGTGAAGCTGTTTTTAAAATTTAATAATTCGGTAACAAGTAGGTACTGTGGTAAAATTTGGTATTAGTATAGAAAATTGTTGTAGTAGTAGAGGTATTAAGTATGCTCTTGTACGGAGCTGAGACATATACATCGTGCGCTCGGCAAGAGAGACTTTTAAAAGCCTTTGACATGCGCTGTCTTCGAAGCATTCTGGCCATCTCCCGGAAAGAAAAAGTGAAGTACGAGTGGGTGCTTGAAATAATGTGGCTGACCAGCGTAACTGCTATGTTAAAATAGAAGAGATTGCGCTGGCTAGGACATGTGCATCGTATGGATTCCTCTTATTTGCCTAAACAAACTCTTCTTGGGGAACTAGCTCAAACAGCTTAGACCAAGAGACGGCGTCGAGAGTTGGGTGGGTTTAAGGAAAGCGTGAAGCGCAATATGATCTCCTTTGATATTAACTTTTCTGATTAGGAGTCGCTGGAATTGCTGATATTTGCTTATGACAATACTTAGCTCTGTTCTCTGCCACTAGACAACGGCATTGTACGTGATTATTGGACGTATGACTGTTCTGCAGAGGCATAGTGTAATCTTCGGTGATAGTCCCTAACTTTTGCCGAGTAGCCGTTTGCATACGCAGAAGACAATGCAGGCTTTGTTGCCGGACGTGTGTGCCGTGAGCCGCCGCGTGAGCCGGATGTCGCCTAAATAGATACTGTACCATTGGGTAATGGTGGTACCCGCGCCACTGCGGGCAGGCGCTTGGAGGTGTCCGGACCTCTTAATAACAGCGGTTCCCAGATCCCTCCTATTACAGGCGCAAAGTGGCACACCGTGTGGTTCCGATTCCGACACACCACCCTACGGTGACAGCCCGAGGGGGATTCCACGCGTAAAAAAAAGGTATCTATGATGAAGAGTTTTTTCGCTCAATTCGTTTGCCTCATTTCATTCAAGGGCCTGGACAGTAATCAGTTGATTACTGTCCAGGCCCTTGAAATGAAATGAACAGAACAGAAAGCAAAAGCAAGGGTATGGTATGGTGTAAGAAATGTACTTGAATATACGTGTACTTTTAATGAAATTTAATGTGGTTAATGTCAAATTCAATTTGTGTGTATTAACAATTTTCCATTAAGACTATGGTGGTTATAGCAATAAATGAATACATCGAAAGTATGGTTTAATGTCTGGCAATTCAAAGACATGTTATACTTATTACGTAATCGCTTTAATTCCCAAGCAGTAAGTATACATATATCTTTTCTAATACATAGTAGTACGAGTAAACTAGGTTTGTGTCAGCTTTAAGTCTAATACGATGAATTGAAATGAACTTCGATTTTTTACGCGGAGTGATTGCTATCAGACCTTTACAACCCAAGTAGACGATATCGATGTTCTGTAGAAAGACTGTTATCGAGCTTTTTAGGGCTCCAACTATCCCTAACGATAGCCACAGATGTTCGTATCGTAACCAGGAACTACGTAAAAACGTGCTCACCGAGGCACGGAGGGATCTCAAAGTATTATAAAAGGATCACCTGTCCATAGATTGACCTGGCTAGGATTGCTTAACTTTGCAATGTGTTAGCCTACTCGGTTACCACTTAGCCATGAGCCCCCTCATTTCTCGTAGACAGTAACATTTTTTATTAATTAAAAAATGACGACGATAAGCACATTGAAGCCCTTATCGTCTTTTTTCCAAACCGGTTTGGACGTTTACTAAGATTTCCTGATTTTCAAAAGGCTTGTTTGCTCAGGACACACGTAGCTGAGTATATACTATATGTAATACTCAGTATATCTAATACCATTTTTCGTACTGGCATTTTTTGAATAGGAGGAAAACGAGCAGACGGGTCCCCTGATGGAAAGCGACTACCACCGCCCATGAACGCCTGCAACTCACGTTACAAACGCGTTGCCAGCGTTTGAGGAAGGAGTACGCTCTTTTCTTGAAGGTTTGAAGGTCGTATCGGTCCGGAAATACTGCAGCCGAGAACTTGTTGCACTGGTTGGAAGTGCGAGGCAAAAAGTGTCTTGAAAAGTGCACAGTGGTGAAGCGCCAATTATCCAAGTGGTGTGGTTTGTCGTGTGGAACGATGACGGAAGGTTGCGGCCGGTATTAGTCCGAACAATTCCTCGGAGCACTCTTGTGAAAAAAGCTGTAAAAAATCTCCATTCTTTTCTAATAAAAAGAATAAATCAATCAAGTTTGTTAAAAATGTGGAAAAGAGTAAGTAACTAACGTCACACATGATAGGGATAGGACATAAAATTTACACAATATTTAAGTCACAATTATGATATAATTAATACAAATCAAATTTTAGGTAAGTTTTATGTCCTAATGACGTCGTTCTATATGCCATCATATCAAAGTCATCAATAAAGTCACTTTTATGTCATATTTATGTCTATGAGTTATCTATGACGTCATATGGAGGTCATTTGTTCACCTACCCGGTGATGATTCTCCTTTTTAACCGACTTCAAAAAAAGGAGGAGGTTCTCAATTCGACTGTATTTTTTTTGTGTTTGTTACCTCAGAACTTTTGACTAGGTTGATGGTTGATTTTGATAATTATTTTTTTCTATTATAAGTAGATGATGAAATGATTTCCTTGTGTTTTCAGGTTAATTTTAACACATAGTCTTATAACTGAGGCTTCGAGTTCTAAAAATCTACCAGTGTTTAGTAAAGGGTGTCTCAGTAAGAGTGCAATTTTTCATTTTAAAATAAAAACAAGTATTTTGTGAAAGAGTTGTGATATTTTTATTGGATTGTAAAGAAGACATGTTTCGATTAAGTATGAAATAAAATATTCGGCAAATGGCCCTCACGGCTATTTTCTCCTTACTATCTATTTCATTCTAAATTTAAAAAGTGCACTGTTACTGAGACAGCCTTTATCATAAAGTAGCACTTCAGTTCTAAGTAAGTCTTTTCTAAAAGGGACTCTGTCTGGATTACTTTTTTAACAGACTACAAAACTTAGTCTCTTAAAAAATTACTCTAGACCGAGTCCCTTTTATAAAAGACTTTCTGTTTGCAAAAGACAGAAACAAAAACAACTTAAACTGCGATTTTTGAGTCTAGTCTTAAAACAAAGACAAGTCTTGTTTATTCGAGACTTAAGACTCGAGTCTTCTTACGAGTACAATACTAACAGTTCCATATGAGTGCCTTGCTTATCGCCTATCCAACGGTCATCAGATAATTTAAATGTGTTATTTTTGCAAAGTGAACAGTGTTACATAAACACTTGTATGTGTTTAAAATCCCTATGGAGTAAACACATCTACAATATGTCCTTCAATTAGTAATCTGTAATTTTAATATCTTACATTATATCTATTGAAATAGCACCAGGCGCCTACTCTTTTAAAAAACGCAATATGTATGCATACAGCATTT